ATTCGCCAATTGGGGTAAATTAATTGCCCCAGAAGATCAAAAGGGACATATGAAGAGGCTCTATTGAAAAAAGAATGGCAATTTTCAGTTCCAACTTGCATCTCTTTCCAACTAGCACTCACTGACGGTCACAGCCACCATCGAAACATCTATGCCCTGTAATATTTTGACTTGTCAAAAGTTGGGACCAGCAAGAAAAAACAAAAGAAAGAGAAGAATGAACGGTCAGCCCAACCTAGAAGGAAAAGAAGAGGCCGAGAGACACGCCCGCGAGAAGGGAAAAGAAAGAGAAGAGAAGAAGACAGAAAGGAAATGGCTTTTGCGCGTGCACGCTACGGACGCCTTACCGAGATGGATTCATTACGAATCGCAACAGCCGGCTAATTGCTTGCATCCTTTGTTTGTCCAATCGGATAAGTTTTCGAAATTAGGGCTTCACTTCGAAGTTTTGTGAAATTTGAGCCGCTAAGTCCGATTTTTGAGTTGTTGAGTTTTGGGATTTCATAGAATTGGTGGATTGTAGCGTTGTGGAACCGTGGGGTTTGACAAAATTCGTTTTAGAGTAACGGTTTGGTTGGAGTGAGAATTTTAGGGTTTTACGTGCGAGTTCTACATTGCGTTTAGATTTGAATAATCGCTTCGAGTGAGCAATTTGTTGTCACGTAAGAGTCATTTTGTTGGCGTTTAAGCTTAGTATAGCTTTTTCATAGTTGATGTAGTGTTTTACTTTGTGTTGACATCAATTATCGTTTAATTGTTAGATTACGAGATCGTCGGCTCGTGTAGCTACACGTTGTTTGGTTTTTTGGGCATTCTAGGTGAGTGGTGCTTATCTCTAGTTTTATAAAACTCATATCTTGAAGTGATAGAAAGATATATTATGAGTTAAAGATGGATAAAGATATATTATGAGTTAAAGAGGAATCACATGTTTGATATTTCTTTGAAGAGGGAAAGTGATGTTTATGGCGTTTTTGATGCATAACTTCGGATCAAGCATTTGCTACTCTATTTGTTATTTGAAATGTTTAAGAAGTGTTTATGAAATGAATTGCAAAAGGTATTTTGGTGGATGAGTTGAGTTAAGAAAGATTGTATACTTAATTTGTTTTGTAAATCGATTTGTGATGTTAATTCTAGATTTGGTTTTGTAGATTGTGGAGGATGTTGTTGTGGGTTGGCATTGGTGCTCAATGTCTTTGTGAACCCATTGAGGAATTTATGGGTATACATACTAGTTTAGGATATTGTTGTGGGCCAACCACCGGCAATATAGGTGGAGACCTTGCCAAGGTGGATAATTTGGTCACCTTGTCACGGGGTGTTATGCATGATCATGATGAGATATTTGAGCATGAGATTGGCTAATGGAATGAATCATTGTTGTGTGATTTTGATGGGATTGATCAATGGGCTGGACCATTGATATTTGGGGAAAATTACCAAAAAAGTAATAAACCTTTTGCAATTGTGCCAATTCAGTCCTAAACTTTTTTTTGGCCAATTCAGTCCTAAACTTTTTGTAATTATGCCAATTCAGTCTATCCAGCCACTTTTGGCCGGCCGGCAGTGACGTGGACGCCGGCTGACGTGGCATTATTTTAATAGATTTTTTTTTCGAATTTTTTATTTTTTATTTTTCTCTTTCTTTTTATTTTTCCCTTATCTTCTTCACCGGTCGCCGGTTCGACGACCGGTGACCAGCGAGAGGCTAAGGTCGGCGAGTTCGACCTCGCCATGGCCAGGGCGAGGTCGAGCTTGCCTAGCGATGGCGAGGTCTTGCCAGATATTGGCGAGGCCTCGCCAGATCTGGGCGAGGCCTCGCCGTTGCTAGGAGAGCTCGACCTCGCCCGGCCATGGCGAGCTCGACCTCGCCCGGCCATGGCGAGGTCGACCCTACCGTCGCCGGTCGAGGCCGACCTTGCCATGACCAGGCGAGGCCTCGCCCGGCAACGGCAAGGTCGGCGAGACCTTGCCGTTGTTGGGCGAGGTTGAGCCTCGCCCTGACCATGGTGAGGTCGACCTCGCCCATGGCCGGTGAGGTGGAACTCGCATGCCTCAGTTGGTTGCTGGTCCGACGACCAGGGAAGAAGATAGGGAAAAAAATAGAAAGAGAAATTTTTTTGAAAACTATTAAAAATTTATTAAAATATTGCCACGTCAGCCGGTCGACGCCAGCCGACGTCCACATTAGCGCTGGCCAGCCAAAAGTGGCCGGATGGACTGAATTGGCACAATTGCAAAAGCTTTAGGACTGGATTGGCAAAAAAAAAGGTTTAAGACTGAATTGGCACAATTACAAAAGGTTTAGGATTTTTTTGGTAATTTTCCCTTGATATTTGTTTGGATATGCCTGCTATAAATATAGCTATGTCAAAGCATATACAATTCGTTCTTTTCTTGTAAGTTTGTTAGATCTTGAAATTTGGCTTGATGAGTTATGTTTTTGTGTCTTAAACACGCATAGTGGATGTTCGATCTACTTAGAAGAGATATTCATTACTCACTGGACTGTGGTTGCTAATTCCATTTATCTATCATGTTTTTCAGGTTCCTTGGTTAGTGGCCGATAGTACGAAAGCGCTATCGCGGGGACTTTTGGGAGTTGAATTTTGAGTATGGTTTAAGGGAGTTGTATACATAGTTGTTAATAGTTTGTCGGGTTGGCTGAGTTCTAAGTTGTATATATTCTGTTTTTTGTAAATTATAGAAACTCTGATGTTGTAACCTAACTTGCTGATTTATCATATATATAGATTGAGATATATATTTTAATAACCGGCTGTAAGTTGTGTTTGATGCTATGTCTTTCTAGTGGAAGGACGGCGGGTCATCCCTCATTCTTGATGATTTTGGGGTGTGACATGTCCTGCTTGAAATGCAGTTCAAAATGTCCCCCAAGGGTTTGTTTCTCACTCGGTTAGCTTAACCCGATTTTCAGAACTTGCAATCTATGCCGGATCTGCCTGAACCAAGACGATCCACAATATAAATTCCAGGAAAATCTCCCAAGCTCTTCGCAGCAAGTTGTACGTTAAAGTTATTAATGCACGCACTGATGAATCTATGCAAAGAATACTTCCAGATGTTCTCTCCAACTTTTTTCTTGGAAAAGCAGGTCTTCTCCACGTCTTTTGTCCACTTCTTTTGACCAATTCGCCCTTCGTTTGTTCTAACTTTGATTTACCCGAGGCTCTCTACAACTTTCGTTCGTCTTGATTTCAAGTTTTTGGTATTGCATGGTGAAGAGAAGGAAACATTTCATGGGGATTATGAATTAAAAGAATTGAAAATTAAAAATATTTCAATTCTTTTAAAGGGGGCATTTGTTAGTGCTCAAATTTGGCTGATTTGACTAGAAGAAAGCAGGAGTACAACATGCCCAAATTGCTAAACATTAAACTGGGTAATGAAGTCGCACAAGACCCAATATATGGGATATCGAGAACTCGGCACCAATAACCGCTCGGGATATTGGGATAAAGATAAGAGCGGTTATCCCATCTGGTGCTGATAATATCGTGGAATAAAAGGAGTAGTTATCGGGAAGAAGATCAAATAATCCAAAATCGAGACAGTAATTGTTCGGCAGTGGTTATTCTTTAGCGTTAGTTATAAATAGCTTCCAAGATTTCATGAGAAGGACCTTTTGCCAAATTGACTGCAAAAAGAAACACCTTTTGTAATCTCGTTTGTTCAATTGCCATCGTTAATTTATCTTTTATTTTTGGTAGCACGATTTATCTTTTGTCCTTTTACTTTTGTTCGCCATTAGCGTAGAATTCGTCTCTTCCTTTCCGAAACGACACAGGACCCGGTTACTCACAAAAAAAGCCGAAGATCTTCCCCTTCTGTAAAAGGTCTTTCATTCGAGGCCACTCTCGGCGAAACAAAGAGGAAAGGTCAGTCACCTTCTTTGCAAACGCTTCCGCGGCCATATTGCAAACGATGCAGGTCAGATGTTTAAGCATTTCTCTATGATATGACGAGAGAATTCATAATTGCTTGTATTGCTCATCGTACAGTACAAATATTAATACAAGGTATTGTATAACAGAAAAGGAAAAGAAAAGATTTATCAAATATCTCTAACTAATTATAATAGATATACCAAATATTACGCTAGCTAAAAACAAAAAAGTAAATCCAGAGATACACCAAATGTTAGAAATACAGATGTAAATCAATGTAAATCTTTAACAAATCTTCTGTAATATTCAATCGCTCAAACTCAAAACATAATTTAACATGAAGTAATTCTAGGTTTTTCTGGCGTAAGCTGTCCAAATCACAAGAAGTAGACCTGATGATAATAGCTGCAATTATTAGGTGGCATGGGTTGACCTAATTACAATGAGTGCAATCATTTACGCGTAATCTATCGTGTTCCCTCCACGTAGTGATAAGCAAACCACTTAACGTTCTATATGTTCCGGTGATGGTCATGTGTTTGAACATAACTCATAAAATATCACAAATCATACTTGTAATGAGAGAGATGGTTAACTAATCCGTAAACATTAAATGTATGTGTTGCACAATATCCTTTTGAGGGATTGATGATCTCATGTTTATATGGATTCACGTTACTTTGAGTTACAAAATTAGCTCACATAAAGATTGCACAACTAAAATATTTGAAGATTTTTTTGTCATGTAAAAATGTTCTTGAAACAAAATGGTTTTCTATAATGCTCGAGGATATTAAGGACCTTTTATTTTTCGTTCTGTGTTTATAAGTTCAAAAGACTTCTTTAAGATCATAAAAGAGCTCTCGTTTTGCATCCATAACAACGCAACCACAACTACAGCTCAATTTGCGGTTGCAATAACATGACGGCTACTGTAGCAGAAGATCAGCACAATGGAATTTGAGGTTGTGTCAAGGCGACTACTGCTACCAACAGCACCAATGTGAACGGCGCGAGTTGTATAGTGGCTGCAATGACTGGATTGGCGGAAACTGACAAGCAAGCAAGCAAGAAGAAGAAGAAGAAGAAGGGAAAAGAGTGTTCTTGAACTAGATTTTAAATTGAGATGACGCTCCATGTCAATGATGATACTCGATTGGGCGGGAGCAATACATTGAGCCGATTTTAGAAAGTTTAGGTACTTAACCGAGCAAAAGATCTGGTTCGTAAAAGAACAAACTTCATATAAACAGTGAAATGTGCCGAGAAAGAAAACATTGACCATTTAACTACATCAAAGAAAGTTGATATCTGACGAAAGGGTGGCAGCAGTTTTATTTCTATTTTTCCATGACCTTGATGTGCAAGCCTTCCCCAAGGTTTAGAATCGGATTTCGGCGTATTTCACCTCTCTTGACCTTTATATATCTGATCATATTCCAACAGATAGAAAATGTTAGGAACGACATCGCTGTCGGCCATCGAATTCAAGCACTGGACTATCTTTGCAGGAAACGTTCGTATTGAGAAGGGGAGAGAAGTACCTATATTTCGTGACCAAGACGTGCAGAAAAGTCGCCAAGAAAACTCTCGCGTACTCCGCTCCAGCACATTGTTTCATTCCCCATCCGAAAGGCATGAAATTCTTCCGCATCGCATCTGATTCGCAGTCCTGGAATTCGAGAGCCCTTAACAAGTCAATTAAAGTACGGCATTTAATTCAGAACCTAAATCGCTTGGGACCATATAACTTCATAAATATGACTCCTTTAATCTTGTTTATTTGTCTAAACTATAGGATTCCCATCTGCAAACCCCAATTCCCCTATTAAATTCAACCTTCCAGCGCCACGGATCAAATGTAGCAGGATCTTTGTACGTCTCGGGGTCCAGGTGAAAAGCAGAAGTGGCTATCAAAACTCCCCAGCGCGCCGGAATCGTGTATCCTGCAAAGAATTCCAACTATCATCAAGGTTCTGAATATGACTTGGTTATCGAAGTACTTATCAATATTCTCGATGCAAAAAGAAAGCACACGGATCGACTATTATAGAAGTGACCTACCGTTCCATTCTACATCGCTTTTTGTCCTCCTTAACAATCCAGGTGAGACGTTTCCCAATCTTAGTGATTCATGTATTACCTGGTTTTTTTAATACCAACGTTAGAAAAGACTCTAGTATATGCAGATTGTGCCAAAAAAAATTGTCCATCTGGCTAGATTGCATACATGAAGAGTGAAAGGCATCGATTTGTATTCTTCCCACGTGATCGAGGAGTCTGAAACTTCTCTATTCTTCATTATGTTCTCATGCTCTTCCTGGAAAAGTACGAGTAAAAACCCAATTAAGAATGTTCAAAGGGATTCCGTGTTACACTTAATTCAATCCGTAAGTAGAAAGGCGTACGGTAATTTCTTGCAATGCTTTAGGATTCTCTTCGAGGAACATTAGAGCTAACGTCAACGTTGTGGAAATAGAATCCGAGCTGACAAAAAGAAGTCCAAATATGAGCTGAACCACAGAATCCTCTGTCAAGAATTTCTCTGTACTCATGTCTGTCATGATGCGAGAAAGATAGTCGTTGTATGGTGTCTCCGGCGAAGAAACCCGAGCTTTTACGATTTCTCGAATGATTGACAACGCCTTCTTATGATTCTGCACAGACCTAAATTTAATACCAATCTTTTTCGTGTATTAAAAATCAAGTTCTAACAAACAAATTGGTTCACTTTTACCTTCATGCATTTGTAATGTGCTGTACCCGGTATGTTCAAAGGGATTGACATAAGGCCTTGAACAAATGCAAAATATAAATCTCCCAATTTCTCTGATGATTGTGTAGGATCATAACTAAACAGTTGCTTTGCGCCGAATTCAATAGCCATCTAGCAAGAACATCAAAAGCTATTAAGCGTTGGATTTGTCATCTCCCTACTTAGAAAAAAGGAAAGAACGATTCAAAAGTTTTTAAAGTTCAAGGATTTGGTCCTTACGATTGTGGTGGTGTATCTTACGTCGACTGATTCTTGGCCTAACCAGCTCTTTATAGTCACTCGAGACGCTTCTTCCATCAAGAGAAGCAACTTCTCCCTCAGGACCTCCATGCCAAAGTGCTTTAGAACCATGCTTCGGATATACTTGTGGACGTTTGGGATGTTGGTGCTGGCCTCGCCCTCTTGCGCGAAAAGCTTTGCGAACGTGTCCAGAGCCCATGAGTCGAACAGCTTCCCGTCTTGCTGAAGGACAAAATGGCAGAATTCCGGATCGGCCGAGACTACTATTGCCCGACCTGCCACGCTCGTCCGGAACGTCTTTCCGTACCTGCATCAAAAGAACAAAGAAGAGGGGCATCCCTGGTTATTGTTAAGAATCACAAAATGAAGTCAACTTCTGATTGTGAAATGGCCAATGAAATGGTTTTGAGTACCATTGTATTCTCTTCTTGAGGAATGGAAGGAGGTCCAGAGAGTAACTAGGAACCATCAACTGAAGGGTCTCGCCGATGAGAGGAAGCCCGAAAGAACCGGGAGGAAGAACGCCATTGCACTTAGGGTTCCTCCATCGGTAAATCCAGTGAGTGAGCCATGCGATGATCAATGCCGACACACACGTTCCGATTATCCACATCGCTTGTTCCTCTGGGAAGAAGACCAGGCGCTAATGGAGCGTTAGAGGGTGATGATCAATGCAAGTTGTTCTCTCTTTATAGATGTATCTCTCTTTGCGGAGATTCGTTATGTGCATTCTTGGCTCAAGTTCTGTGGTCTTATAGATATGACGCAACTATGTGTTTTCCTGAAAAGCACTACAAATCACAAGAAGTTAACCTGAATATAATAAGTTCCATAATTAGGTGAGCATGGGTTGACCTGATTATAATAAGTGCAATGATTTCCGTGCAATCCTTGGTTGGTGATAGCCAAAACTTTGACGTTCCTTAAAATCAGGCGATGGTCATGAAGGGAACATCATTCATTTAAAATCACAAAAGATGCTTGAAATGAGAGGGATCTTTGAACTAATTCCAAAATGATACACAACCCTAATCCCTTAAATATCATTTGAAGGATCGAGGGAAAAGTATCAGAAAAGTCATAAACCTTTTGCGTTAGTACCAATTTAGTCATAAACCTTTTTTTGGTGCCAATTGAGTCATTCCGACTAATCTTTGAACTAATCCGAATATATCACGTGAAAATGGATTTATGCTACTTTGAGAGTTTACGGAATTAGCTCACATTTAGTGTTGCACAGCTGAGACGCATAAGGATTATCTTCTTCTTCTTTTTGTTGTATTTTGTTTTTGTAACAGTGTAGTTTTCTATGATGCTGAACGATTTGAGGGACCATTTTTTTTTTTTTTGTGTTCAGAAGTTAAAAAGATTATTCGAAGATCATAAACGACCTTACATCTCTCCCTTTTGCACTTATAACAACGAGACTACCGGGATTTGCAATCGCAACAACATGACCACAATAGTACTAGAAGGCAAGAACAAATCGAATTTGCGGTGGTGTCAAAACGACCATCGCTACCAGCAACAATAATGCGAACAACACACCTCCTATATTTAAAAATTTTAAAAAAAATTATCCACGTTAACGCCAGCCGTGCCACGTAGGACGGCCGGCATCCACGTCAGCAACCTCCAGCCTAAATTGACCGAATGGACTCAGTTGGAAAAACATGATTAAATTGTCTAATTGAAAGATTTATGACTAAATCGGTACTCGATGCAATATGTTTAGGACTTGTCGCGACCTACCCGTCCCGATCGGGAGGATCCAAAATTGATAGGTGAGATCCTGAGGTATTTGTCGATGGATGTGAACATTAATTGAGTCGTTTGAAGGACAAACCAAATGATTCATTAATCCAAGGACCGAGGCACTTCCAAGCCTTATACCTCATGTGACGAGAATTGTCTTAGACTAAGCATTCAATTGGAGTAGCCACTAGCCATAATCAAGGATTGGCTAGAAACTCTCGTCGAGACGTGGGAGTGTCATCTAGATATGCGCGAAAATTAGAGATTCTAAGGATCGGGGACTTGATTACACTAGTGATCTAATTAGTGCCCTTTCGATACCTAAACTTGAACGCTCGCAAATTAACGCATTGGACAGCCTATCGAAAAAGCTTAAGATTCTACCTAACCATGCAAAAAATGGAAAATAACGATCAATGTATTAAAGGTGCGCAATCAAATAATCATAAAGAAAATAAACAATCAGCGACCTAACATTGTCTCTAAAAAAGAAAAGGCAATCAAAAGCCCTAAAGTAAAGCCCTAATGGCTTGTTCAATTTTTTTGGGAAATTTTTAAAGATTTTCTCAATTTTTACAAGTTTTAAATTAAATCTAGAATGAAATTAAACACTAAGATCTAACGAAATTACCCTAAAAAAAATTTCTAAACATTTCCCAATTTTTCTGAATTTATCTAATTTTTTAAATTTTTAAATTTTTTATTAATAAAATAAGCATTCCGTACCGGGTCCCTTGACCCGATCCAACCCGGCTCTCTGACCCATCCGAATTTTCAAATTTTGATTTTTTTCTTTTTTTTATTTCCTTTGGCTTTTTCTAATTTTCTTTTTCCCCTATTTCTTTTTCTCTTTAATTTTTTATTCCCCTTTTTGTTTTCTTTTTCCCCTATTTCTTTTTCTCTTTAATTTTTTATTCCCCCTTTTGTTTTCTTCTGCCTTGACTGGACGCCTTCTTCCTCATGGGCTCACCGAGAGCTGACTGGGAACGTCTTCTTCTTGGTGAATCGCCGGCAACCCAAACTCCGAACCAAAATCGGTTTCTTCGAGTGACGTCGACGACGAATCTGCTCAGACCGAAGTCGCAACTCTACCATCACCGAACCAAAGTCCCTAAACCAGCACCGCCGGCCACTAAATCGCTAACATCGGCGACACACTTTCGTTTCCCGACCATCAAACTTCCAGCGACAACAATACGCGCTAAAACGCAAACAAACAGACGTACACGCATATGAAATGGAGATAGTAAGCTAACGGTGGCGGCCTCAAACCGCGGGCCTCTCGGATTAGGAAGGAGTTCTCCGGCGGGGAGACTCGGACAATGTGCGGACCATGGCATAAACACAAGAAAAACACAAAGTCAGTATTGATTCGACGAACAAGAGTACCAAACAAACACAAAGATCGACTTCTAGGCACCGATTTCACAAAAAATCATTCGAACTTCCATTTAGGCATTTCATCGAACACGTGGTATGCAAGTTGAGATAGACGCTCTTGAGTGAGATTCAATGCGATTTCTAAACGTCCATATATCACAACAAACTCATCTTGGTTTACCCAGAAACTTTCAGAACTTTCAGACCCGAACTCGGCACCCTAAGCCCACACTGTCTCATTGAGGCATTTCATCAAACACGTGAGGCGCGACCAAGAAAAGGGGTTACAGAGCTGGTTTTGACGAGATTCATGGCTTTTTTTTTTTACATACGACGCTCGAAACCACTCATTTGAGCATAAAAAAGGTGTCATTCTCCATTGGTGGAGCCAGGCGACCACCGAATAGGCTCGGTGTGCCTGGCACCCGAGAGGCAGGGGAGGGGGACCAAAACAGGGGAAGACGATGAAGACCCACCTGGTTCGGGGCTGACTGGGATGAAGCGCGGCGGCTTGAGGCTCAATGGGGGCCGACGGAAACTCAGATGGACGACCGGTCAAAGAGCAAAAATCTCTCTTTTTTGGTTCTCTCGGTTCCCTCTCCGTCTCTCCCTCCGGAACCCCCTGGTTCGTGCGGCCGTGAGGCGACGAATGGTGGCCGGTAGGTGGAGCCTTCAACGGGAACGATGGCGACTCCAACGGACCGCCGGCGAGCGAGCAAAAATTTCTTCTTTTGCACTTTCTCTCTCGGCTCCCCTCTACCGCGAGGAGCTGGGACGACCAAAAACGAGAGAGCGGCTAACTCCGGTATTCGCAGGCTCAAATGCAAGGTGGAGAGGGGGAAGAGATTCGCCCAGCCACCTCCTTGCCGATCGAGAGGTCGGAACACTCTCCTCTCTAAACCCCTCAATCCACCCTTTTTTTTTTCTCCCTGTCCCTTCTCTGTTTCTTCTTTTTCAAGCTCTCTCTCTCGGTGTCTGTCTCTCTCTTTGGTTTGGGGAAGCCCCCTGTTTTTTAACCTCCTCTGGACGTGTCTTCACCAAGGGAGAGAAGAGAACGTGCCTGTCCATGGGGAAGAGCTCCCCTTTTGTCTTCTCTCTCTCACTCTCTCTTTTTTCTTCTTCTTTTTTTTTTGATAATAATTTTTCAAATAAAATAAAAGAAAAATATGTTTTACTAAATTCTGTTAATGCAAATGCGCCTAATATTTATGTGCCATATAATTTAATGAAAATATTTTTGCTTAGGGGTTAAAAATAAATCCTTAATTTTTATGCACTTAAACCCTAAATGACTAGGCAAAATTTAGGTGTTAACATGACTTTTTTGGTACTTTTTCCATCATCATTTAATTAATTTAAGTTCAGGGACAACATTGAATATTTAAAAAAGGACGACACTATTTCCACCTTAGTTTGACTAAAACGCTCATTTTTATAGTAACTAACCAAAATGCCTTTCTCTCTCTCTTCAAAGTATCGTTTCCTTTTTTCATTATACACACCAACAAAACCAACTTTATTTCTATGATTTCTCTCATCAGTTTCACAAATGCATCATGTTATCACTTTGCTTAGAGAAGTTGTTAATTTTAATTTATGGTATCATATTTTTAATCAATGCTACAGAGAATATTAGCAATTTCTATTTATGATGGCTTGTGTACACAATAAATTCCCTATTTTTCAATAGATAATTTGAGCGAAAATATATTTCAAAGTTGAAAATTAAATTTCAATCTAATTATCTAGTCGATCTTGATCAAAAATGGAAAAAATTGATCAAAGTATGGATTGGTTAATTTCTTAGAAGAATTATCAAACATTAAACATGTGTATACTTAGACCATATCGAAACAAAAGATAAGGCACAAAGAAGAAAAAAAAGAGACTTCTTGTTGTTCTTCTATCATGAAGAAAGTAATTAATATCGATTGTAAATTCAATGTAATAGTAGTGGATCAAAACTTCAAAAATATTCTTAAAACTTTCCTTTGGAATAATGTGATGTGAGTATGAAAGTGAAGAAGGTGTAACTAGATTTTCAACCTTCATTTTACAATTCAGATAAATTGTGAAAGCACAAAATAAGCGATATTTAACTTCAGAAACCTACAAACTTATTCCAGAAAAAATACACACACGGTCAAGATCAGCTAGATAATTAGATTGAAATTGACATTTCAACTTTGAAATGTAGATTCGCTCGAATAAAAAATAGACAATTAATTCTGTATTCAGAAACCGTTAGAAAGGTTACGAATGAATCGATGCTCCCGGACTAGAATTAGTATATGAAAAGTATTTGTAGTTAGTATTCAATGCAGATTATATTTGGAACTTGGATCCAATTGCTTCACGTGGGATGGGCACCCTTTTTAGAATCATAGTCTAATAAAGGAAAACATCAAGCTATTTGTACGCATTCACGTGTAGCACACCTGGTACATAGTCTATGGAAGTTTTTTTTCGTAGTAGTTAATGCTACCTAGCGTCTCTATTAGAAAACATCAAGTCGTAAATCTCAAGTTATTGATGTTTCAGTTGATTTTTATATTCTAATCCTAGCGTTTCCCACAATTTCCTCCCTTTTTGGATATTAAAATTCCTAATATTTTGATACATTCCTATTGAAATATATTAATTGATAACCAAAAGATATTGCAACGGTCAAACAATCCTCTGAACATTTTTTTAGTCGAGATAGTGATGTTTCTTCTGACTTTCTATTTAACAAGTACGAGCGTTTCCCGCGTTGCTGTTCTTTTTTTTTTTTTGCTTTGTTCGTGCACGACTCCTTCTGTGCTTTTTGTTTACTAATTTATCCAATCCTTATGTACCCCTCTAAGATGATATTTTGTTAGGCGTAATTGAGGCATTTATATTGTGAAACTGACGAGAGAGATGATAGAAATAAAATCAGTTTTGTTGGTTAGTTTGATAAAAAAAGAAAACAATACATGAAGAGAGAGACGAAGGATATTTTCGTCAGTCAACTAAAAAAAACAGAGTGTCTTAGCCAAATTGAGGGTGGAAATAGGGTCGACCTTAGAAAATAGTCTAGAAACTTAGTTTGAACATGTGCAAAAAGTTTAAGGATCACATGAACAAATTAAAAGTTTAGGGACGATTTGCAAATAAGGCTACAGTTTATGAACTACATTAAATAAATTAAAAATTCATGCACCATATTACATATTGAATCAAAATTTAAGGATAATTTGTATCATTTTATCCTTTATATTTCTCATACCATGTTTACAAGTCAAAAAGACTACTTGAACATCACGGAGGACTTATATGTCTCCTTTTGCATTTATAACACTCTGCTACTATCGCTTTCAGATTTGCGATCGCAATAGCTTGATCACAACCGTATCAGACGACGAGCGCGATCGAATTTGAGGTCATGTCAAGGCAACGGCCACTATGAGAGCAACAACACGACCGACACGCCTTTGTTTAAAAAAAACAGGTTCTCCCGACATATATCATTTTCATCATCTTTGGCCAACTTTTCAAGCAGTGTTTTTGTCCACAGTAAAAGTAGTTAAGGTCGTGCTTCGCGAGCTCATTTGTCGAGTGAGTCTGCAGTTGATTCTTCTTCATCATCGATTGGTTTTGTAGTTTTTATTTCCTCTAAAAGTTTTTGCACCTATGTGCGGTTTCATTTGGGTCTATTCTAAAACTTTTCAGCCACATTTAATTTCTGCTCTGGTCAAACAAATGATGTGATTGTGCCACTTGGTCATTAGAAATTTGTTTATCCAAAAAGGAAGATCTAAATCTAGTAAACAATGACATTTTGTGAACCGATTTTTCCATTATTTCATTACATCATCTTTTTTATTGTAAGCCAGTAGAAAGAATGCTATTTCTAGCTCAATTCTATTGTGGGAACCAAACAAAAGAATGGGATTAGCAATTCCCCTTTATATTTCCATACCATTTTCCATTTTATTTCGATATGATTCCATTTCTTTGGATCGAAAATGTGTTTGGACCTTGTTTGGTGCGTTGTTGAATTGGATTGTTCATGGAGTAGGATCCCAGTTCCTTTGATTCTTATGTTTGGAAAGAAACAGGAGCTCGAATTTGGATTCTTCATGGAATAGCATTCCTTAAATAAGATGGATTTGAATTACTTAACTTCACGTGTTATCGGGAATGCACTATCACCTATTATTACCAAAAAAAAAATAGCATATTTGATAAATGCATTTGAAAAACTTTTCATCAAAATAAAAAGAAATGAACTAGTGGACCAGCTCAATTGAACTAGCATATTTGATAGATACATTTGACAAACATATGCTTGTGCAAGACGTCGCTAGTAATGAACTAGTGGGCGGACCATCACAATTGATGATGGCGGCGGTCCGCGATCTTCAAGCCCATCAACCTCCATACATCTCAGAGCTTGGTCGTGATTTAATCTCTTTGGACCTCTGAATCTGAATCACATCTTGAATTCCTAAGTAACGACGCACACCATCATAGCCATGGAGGTCATCAGCCTCACAAACTACAGCTCTGGGGTCGTGCTAGGGAGCGCGACATCTGTTACAGCTTATTGACAGGGTCATGAGAACCCATCATTCTAAGAATCAGCCAAGTGACAAAGTCCTAAGTAACGCCATAGAATAGCACACCATCAAAGCCATGGAGGTTGTCATCCTCACGCGAATACAGCTCGGGGGTCGTGCTAGGGTGCGTGAATCAGCCAAGTGACAAAGTCGAGCCCCTACACCAAGGCCGAGTTTCCTAGCCTCGTGCAACCATAATTTGGAGTCACACAAGGGAACATCCTGGTTATAATCTCCATGATGATTGATAGATTGAGAGACAGAGAGAGAGAGAGTTTGATAGATTGAGAGACAGGGAGAGAGAGCTAGTGAAACGAGGGGGCCTGGGATGTCATCTGTTGATGGAGGCTTGACGGCAGGGGCTCATAACAGTGATGGTCGAGCGATGTCTCGGCAATGGGGGTACGGATGGCCACGAACGGCCGGCCATCGTCAAGCATCCTCTCCCATATCGATATGGCTGGGTGTCTTGGGAAAGAAGACCAGAGCAGGAAAAAAGAAGAAAGGACGAAGGAGAAACCTAAAAAGGAGAATACATCTCCGCCCATTCAATGGCTTAACATGATTTCTTAGAAGTTATCCAATTCTAAAATGTTTAGCTATGCAAGAATTGCTCCAACCTAAGATCATCAAGTTGAAATAGAGATGATTCCACAGTGATTTCTGTGGAGGCAGAAAGAGTAGATCCAACGATTCAGTCCTCAGGCTCGCATCTATACATCACCATCCGGAAGAAAGAAATCATTCTAGTCGATCCAGAACTAAGCCATCAACGTAAACAAGAATTGATGGAAGAAGCACACGCATCTTGTTAAGTCCAATCTCAGCAGAAAACAAGTTCATATTACTACAAGACGAAGTCCACACATCAATCCAAGTAATATCCAACTGCAAACACTCCAAGTGATGCTAATATGTAATTAAATTAACAAATAAGAGGCTCTCAGATTGAGGTTCTAGACATCAAAGTCCTGGTATTGCTGAAGGACCTGGGCGCAGCCGGACAAGGGCTGGTCTATCACGAATCCCATGTTGTTGGCGAATCGGTCGTCCGAAGCGATCCCGTTGTAGCGGGTGAGGATGACACGGGCGCGGTCACGTCCCGCGGCTGGCTTCTGGCAATTGGGCTGCGGGCTGCTCACGAGCATGGCGTCGCAAAGCTGATCCAGGTGATCCTCTGAGACGAACATCTTGTAGGTTCCGGTGGAGTCCGTGGTCGCCTCCTGGCTATACAGGGGCTTCATGCTTGTCCTGTCCTTGCATTCCACTTTCACCTTGGCACCTGTCGAATCAGTCCAACGGAAAAGGAGGTTAAGCAAAGAAATCTCAAGAGCTACACGCCCTTACAGACAAAACAGCCCAATTATAGGATGATACACATCGAATATAAACTAGAGCCACAGTTACAATCATGAGGAGTGTTGGGCAAGTAGACACCCAATGTCCTCTCATTCTCTACTTGCCAAAAGCTTTCTTGCATGTCTAACAAGCTCAAAGATTGCTACATTTCACCTAATGATGAAAGAATACTGCCCCAGCTTTTGTCGTTCGCGGAAAGAACTCCTTAAGAACAAAAACTACAAACAGCAGCAAGCAACGACAAGATTCGCCAATGGGGTCAATTAATTATCCCAAAAGATCAAAAGGGATACATCAAGAGGCTCTATTGACGAGGGATGGGCATTTGCAGTTCCAAATACCATCTCTTTCCAACTAGCACTCGCCGAGGCTCGACAGCCACCATCGAATCATCTATGTCCTACTTGAAATGCACTTGAAAACGTCCACAAGGGTTTGTTCCTAACTCAGTTAGCTTCACCCGATATCCAGAACTCGCAATCTACACCAGATCTGCCGGACTCGAGACGATTTTACCAATGAAACGACTACTGTAAACCCCTACACACGGTCAAACAAATCGCTCTCTTTTGCCTAGTTCCAAGTTGCAAATCTGCAGAGTCTTTCCATGCTACCCTCCCAAAATCTACAAATGCTCAAATCAAACCCTCCACCAGGTGAACCAACTTCGCAAGGCAGTCGAACGAAACATCGACATTCAAGTTACACACCACACCACATAGCCGCTACTATCGAGCGGCAATCACCTAGGACGCGCGCACTCCCTATTCACTACTCTGTCCCGCGCTGCACTCCACCAACCACACAACACAGCCATCGACACCCCCAGCAAAGCCACGGACGCAGGAATGCAGCCACCGTACACGCAGATCCTAACATCCAACCACCCGATCTACGCCATACCTACCCCAGATCTAAATGAAATACCACGAAGCTACAACAAAGGCGGCTGCAACAGTAACAGTACACTGCACGCTCCGTCTTCCCTAGAGAAGAAAACGAGCGAAAGCGGAAGCGCTACAGATCATAAGTCCCAAATGGGTTCGGCGAAACGGCGGTTTACCGGCGATGTAGGTGGAGGCGGGGGTCTCGAAACCGGCCTGGCAGGTGTCGCAGTAGACCTTCCCCGTCACGGTGAGCGGGGTCCTCGTGGGCCGAGCGGCGGCGGCGATCGCCGGGAGCAAGCAGAGGGCGAGCAGGACGGCCAGCCTCGCCATTTCCGGTTCTCGAAAGGGTTCTCGCTTTTTCGGGTTCGGCGATGGTTGGGGGAAATCAAGAGGAGGGGAATGAGAAGCGAAGGAGGAGCGAGTGCGCACAAAGGGAAAGCGAAGAAGCGAGAGCAGCGACGATATAAAGGGGAAGATGAAAGGGGAAAGGGGAGGAAACGAGGGGTGGGGGGGGTGGGGGGAGGATCTGGTACGGGAGGGCGTACGATGTGCCGGTGCTCGGTCGTGCTAGGGGACGCTTGATTTGAGGACTGGGGCGGGAGAGTCAAGAGGTGAGGAGGACGGACGGCCGGATGAGAGGGAGGAGCAGGGGAAAAGCGCGCGGGGTGTCGTGATTGCGGAGGGGGTGCTGAGCTGTCAGCTGTCGGTGGTCACATGGGGGTGTAATGATTCCATATGTTAGCGAAGGAGGAGCCAAATTTTGTGTATGAAAAAAAATAATAATAAATGAACCGGGCTCATACGCGCCGTTAGATGAGATGGGCCCGAGGGAGAGCCCACCGGATCCGACGGTGCACGTGGGTTGGGATCTCATGGACCGGCGCACGGGAAATAAGTGCTCGTCGATAGAGAGGAAGCAAAAGAGAGCTGTAAATCATAATCAACGATGCCGCGTTCGGCGGTGGCAAAGTAAGGGAGGTTTTCAAAAGAAACCGCGTAGAAATTTAGAACGGAGCCAAAGCCCAAAAGCGATGGGCTTACAGCCCATATCGCGAGGTTGAAAACATTTTTATCGAAAAAAATTATCCAAAAAGTTCTAAATTTATTTTGACAATTCAAGCATAAACTTTTAAATTTTATCAATTCAATCCTAAACCTTTTGATAATTTGTCAATTGAGTTTATCTAATTAATTTTGGCTGGAAGTTGATGACAAGGATGTTGGGCGTTCTATGTGACATAGTCGGCGCTGACATGGACATTTTTAATAAATTTTTGAATTTCTTTGTTGTTTCGAGGGATGGCCGGCGACCCCCTTTGGCTACAGGCGAGGGCCGCGACGCCTTTGCCAGATCTAGCCAGGCGAGGGCTCACGCGCCCACGCTTTGGCCGACGAGGACCACTAAGCCTCGTCTAGCCACATCGAGGGTTGCAAGCCCTCGCCTAGTGGCCGATGAGGGCATCGCAGCCCTCGCCAGCCATTTTTCCAAAACCCAGAAAAAAAAAAACAATAAAGAAAAGGGGAAAAAATCATAAAATTTTCTAAAAATTATGAAAATATTAATTAAAAATGTCAACGTTAGAACCGACCATTGTCGGCCGGCGTTCACGTCAGCAATTTCCGGCCAAATTTGACTGGATGGATTCAATTAGCAAAACGTGAAAAGGTTTAGGGCTGAATTGGTAAAAGTGCAACAAATTTAGGACTTTTTGAATAATTTTCCCATTTTTTTCGTATTAATTGCTTCTATCATTTGATATAATTAGTTAATGAAAAGCATTTTCATTATCGATAACAATTTATTTCTAAATATTATTATAAATGATGAAAACATTTTTCATTCATTTATTTTCTAAGTAATACAAGCAATTTTTTTTAAAAACATATTTTTAAAATTAATCATTTTTCGCAAAATAAAGTATGCCAGATCATCATGTACTCGGCACCCCGAAACTTTTCATTACAATGCACAAATTCGGAGAGCATAAATAAAAGAAATCAAGTTTCATTTTTCTTTCTTTTTTTTTAAATTTTGCGAACCACGATACGGTCAAGGCACGTGTTTGCACTTTGAGGAGCTGTCAATCTGGCACGAAAGGAATATGTTCTCCTCACTCTGGCACCTCGAATGGTGGAAAGATTGAACATAATTGGTGGCGCTTCAAGTGGACGAAATTTGTGGATTGATAGAGTCGGTGGTGGACCGCCAATAGAGTCGGTGTTGGACCGGCGGTTCACCACCGCCACTCGGTTCGGTTTACACTGCTTTCTTGTCCTTCCCCTATTTGAATCGAATCACTGAACTCTGATTTCGATTGTCGAATGCGCCGGACTTTAGGATTTTGGCAATTGATATGGTTTGATCGAGACCTGATTGAATTTCCTGACGAATTATGATGGGGTTGTTTGTGGCATACGCGTGTTGCTGAGAGGAAGCAAAGAGAGCTATAATCTATGATGTCGCATTCGACAAGGCAAAGTAGCGAGGTTTCAAAAACCCCATACAAGGTTAGAACAAAGGAGGCCAATCCTTTCCTCGTGGGCCAATCGGCTTGGTCCAAATTCAAAAGTACATGTATGTGCGGTGCTCACGGAAATAAAAAAAAAAAAGAGGATTTAAGTGGACTTTTAGCCCAACACCGCGATTAGACTTGTCAAAATAGATTATAAGCCATTTTCTTAACTCATATATATATATATATATATATATATATATATATATATATATAATGGACCGAGTTGTTATATGGATTAATTTTATTCATAAATGAGTCATAAATGGATTTAGGATGGTAAAACGCAACATAATATGGTGTTAACTGTGTTTACAATTTACTTAGACCCAACACATATCTATTACTCTCTTTTCTCTCTTGCCCTCACTCGATCTCACTCTCATCTCAGTTTTAATATGGGTTTTTCAAAATTGGGTTAAATATAGAAGTATTTTAGTAATATGGATCAGGTCATGTATGAATCGGGTTGATACAGATTAATAGATTTGCATTGCATGAAAATTGGTCTATTTAGATCGGACGATTTTTGACCCATTATGACTCACCCGTTTGATGAGTCTTTACAATTATGCCCGTTTATTTCACGAAAATTAATATATAATTTTTTTTTAAAAAATGATCGCTTGAAATTATTAATTTTTCGCGAAAAAAATATGAAGTCTAAAATTGTCATATTTTCCCAAACTTATTATTAAAATCCACGGATTCGGAGAGCATAAGAAAAGGAAATTTGTAGCTTTTTTTTTATTTTTTTATTTCCGTGATCTACATTTTGGTGAAGCGTGGATGCACTTTGAGTGGTTATCAATCTGGCGCGCAAGTAACATGTACTCCTCACTCTGGCACCTCAAATGGTGGAATATTGGAATATGGGGGGCAGCAAAATTGGTGGCGCTTCAAGTGGGCGGAGATTTATGGATAGAGATAGAGTTGGTGTTGGACCGGCGGTGGGCGGTCCGCCGCCGCCGCTCGGTTCGGCTTACATTGCTTTTTGGTCCGTCACCTATTCGACTCTTCGTTTTTTTTCCTTTTGCATCCTGGACCATTTGCATTTCCGGCTTTTCTTCCAGCATTAAGGATCACACGGTTTCACAAAGAAGAAAGATTGGTGTGTGCAGGGTCGGTCTAAAGAGTGAATTTCGCCAATGATCACTGACCACTATGATGGATTTTGCAATCGGATCACTAAACTCTAATTTCGATCAATGAATACACCGGACTTTAGAATTTGGGCAATCGGTACAGTTTGACCAAGACCCAACTGAATTTCCTACCGAATTCTGATGTTGTCGTTTGTGGCGCACACGTATTGCTGATGCGGCGCCGTATCCATAAGGAAAAAAAACGATAGAATCATGACACGATGCAAACAGACAGAGGTCTAAAAGCAAAGCTCAAGTGTCTTGCCATCCAATGAGCCAAGGATAAAAGCACAAAACAAAAATATGACTCGGCTGGTACTAGATATGTCAAAATGGATGATAAAATTATTTCTTAACCCATATTTAATGGGCTGGGTTATTATGTGGGTTAATTATATTTAGTTAATGTGTTATAAATGAGTTTAGAATGGTAAGACTCAAAATAATATAGATGTTAAATGGGTTCACAACTTACTTAGACCCAACCCACCTATATGATTCTCTCTTCACTCTCTCTCGCCTTTACTTGATCTTGCGCTTGCTCCCTCTATGCTCTCACCTTAGTTTATGTATGAATTTTCCTATATTGGATTAAATATAAAAGTGTTTTAACAATACAAGTTCAGTCGAGTATGAGTCACTAGATTTGTATTGCATAAAAATGGGTCAAAACGGATTAAATTGGTCAGTTTGGATCGGACTATTTTCGATCCGATCCGATTCACTCATTTGACAGGTCTAGCTTGTACCACGAAGGCCTTCTTTTCCGAAGCTTCAAACTATAAAACGAAACCTCAAGCCTCATGGAGCACATCATTATAAGTGTCCCATTCCAAATTAGGGTAATTGCGCACAAGAAATGAAAGTGATCGAATTCATATACGCCGATTTCAAGGCAAACGCCCGAGGCATTACGTTGCGAAGCTTCAAATTTCATTATCTAGTTAATATCATGTGCTCGAATATGCACCTTGACTGGACATGCACATTCATATCAATGAAGCGACCACCATGAATTCTTAACGCAAATAAATAATAAAAATATATATGGACATGGATTGTTACGTCATCTCTCCAATATTGAGGATTAACTGGTCAACAAAACCCTAATTCCCGGCTGAATGCTTCTAAATGGTGAGTTAACTCCACTAACACAAATTATTACTTTAATATACTCTTTTAGGATAAAAATAGTAAGAGTGTCATAATTTTCGTACGACCCTGATTGGTGCTTGATTGGGGTCATGCGACCAGCGATGGTTGGATCGATACTCGAGTCGCTCGACCCCGGTAAGTGGTGCCACCACTTCTCTCTCTAACTCTTCTCCCTTTGTCTCTATGTGGGTGTGCTTCAATTGAAGGCGGCGTCGACCATAACGAGAGGCGGGCAAGCACTCGGTGGGCCTCGTCAGTGCTTAAGTGGAGTCGTCGCCACAATTGCCACCATTTGCCCTTATTCCCCCTCTTTAGAGTTTGAAGTGTCTTTCTTTTAATATTTTGACCCATTGATCACAAATTATTTAGTCAGCACTGACGTGAATTTACATATCAACATTTTCGTATTCATTTTTAACGGAAGGACTAACTTGAATAAAAGAATATATATAGGTTAGATATCACTTCTTTATCCCAAAAGAAAAAATATAAGCATAGGGGAATGAACAAATTGGGATATCACACGAACGGTTTCATTATCCCATTAACTAAACGTCTCTGACCAAAATTCGGTGGTCAGCGGTCAAACTATTATGTCACATGATGAGATCTAATTTCAAGGTTCCATTTGTTGTCACTTTAGGACCCTTTGACCAAACGGCTACAAAAAAGTTAAATCTCGGGTCTATTCATTTCCTTAACTTGCAGTAGGTGCTAATTAAAAACAACACTTGGTATATTTAACATCAATTTACAATCGAGCCATAATCTTAGGCACATTGAATGAAGTTGTTGAAATATGATTCACTTACTTCGTTAAGAAGATGCATGTGTTAAAAGAAGCCTTAAATTAAAAGATTTGGTGTATTGTGGAACGGTTAACATGCTCACAAGCCGATAATCGATAATTTTAAGGTTTTTAAATTGAAGTCAACCGACATCAAACTCCCCCAAAGTTGCCTTTGCCGACCATGCGGATTAGTTCTGTCTTTCTTATAAAAACTGAGGAAACGAACAAAACCATCGTGTTCAACCCATTTTGTTGGTCAAAAGTTTCTAGGCTTTTGACTTTTCTCTCCTCGCTCTATATATATCCTCTCCAATTTATCACCCTAGTCATAGGAAACGAAGATTAAATATTAGAAATCACAACAAGAAACCAAAAAAAAAAGAAAAAGAACGACGATGTTCTCGAAGGAAGCAAGACAGCTTCTCTTGATCTGCATTTTCTCGTTATGTTTCACGCCGTTCCTTGCTCATGGGAGGGTCAATCCCAAGTTCAAACTGCGAGCAGTCAACCTCGGAGGTTGGTTGGTCACGGAAGGATGGATCAAGCCTTCTCTGTTCGACGGAATCCCCAACAAGGACTTCTTGGTACGTGTTTCTGGCAAATTTGCCATACGTTGTGGCCCTTTTGTTCGTGTTCATTTATGAATCTTGCTGCGATATTTTAGGATGGAACTGGGCTTCAGTTCAAATCGGTGACGGTAGGGAAGTATCTGTGCGCGGAGAGCGGCGGGGGGACCATCATCGTCGCCAACCGAACCGCTGCCTCCGGTTGGGAAACCTTCAAGGTGAATGAACATCATCGAGAGAGAATTCAGTTGTTCTATCCAGAGTGAAAGCAATGACTGAGAAGACGTATATGCCTTCCGTTTTGTGGTTGCAGTTATGGAGGATCAACGCAACGCTGATTTTCAACTTCAGGGTCTTCAACAAGCAGTTTGTCGGGCTGGACGCGAACGGGGTCGACGTGGTGGCCGTTTCCGAGTCCCCCGTCTCGACATTCGAGATAGTAAGGAATTCGGAGGATCCGAGCAGAGTCAAAATCAGAGCTTCCAATGGCCTCTTCTTGCAAGTAATAAGATGCTCCGTTCTAAGTTTCAGTTTTTCTTTGAAAATACATTATGGCAATTTCATTGGGTGATATCTGGTTGAACATTTAAAAGCCAATCAATGTTGAAACTTATATGAATCACATATTGAGATGAGTGCGTGATACTGGCGGTGGCGGCAGGTGAAGACAGAGGTACTGGTGACGGCCGATTACAAGGGGGAGGGTGGATGGGGCGATGACGACCCTTCCGTTTTCGTGATGGGCTTCGCCGATAGATTGCAAGGCGAGTTTCAGGTCACTAATGGCTACGGACCACAAAAAGCCCCACAAGTCATGAGGGTAAGAAACCAAGAACCAAGAAGTGCGCCATCATTTTACTCGTTAACTTTTCACTTATTGACATTTTCCGACGTTTAGCTTAGTTCCTCATCATTTACCTTTAGTTACTTTTTAATGCTGAGTTGAATGCTTAGTTGCCCAATTTCCTCTTCTTTTCTTTTTGTCTCTTGGTCAAACGAGTAACGTGCCTAATTCAGAACAATCCATTGCGGGCGGCGATCTCTTCTGGATACTGTTGATTCTTTTGATAAATCAGAAGCAAACTTGTTGACTTCTATCAAGATTTTAGGGTTGACCGTTACCTAAGCACTGTCCAACTAGCGGTCCATGCTCAATTTTCAATACCCTGCAGCGGATGACTGCTGCTTTGTCTACTTCTAGTGGTTGAAATTTCAGTTTAGCATATTGATATCGCCATTGAACTCGGGATCTTCTTCGAATACTTGAACTTGACTAATTCCTCTGCATAATCAGTTGAGCTTGATTTGCAGGAGCATTGGAGCACATTCATAGTGGAAGACGACTTCCAGTTCATAGCAAGAAATGGGTTGAATGCAGTGAGGATTCCGGTGGGCTGGTGGATAGCAAGCGACCCAACTCCTCCGCCGCCTTACGTGGGAGGATCCTTGGCCGCACTTGATAATGCCTTTTCTTGGGCTCAGTACGTCCCACTTTCCTATGAAGCTGTCTCTACATGTCGCATTCGCACTTTTCATTTTCATTTGCAAAGACCAAGACTCCATCTGATCCTCACCTTTATCTCTCCTTTAGCACATTGGATGTTGAATGATAGGCAACCCAAAGCTTTTGTCTCACCATCGAGCGCGGTAGCCCAACGATAGAAGAGTCGCTACGTCTTTCATGAGATCACAAGCTCGAACCCTGTTGAAAGTCAAAATCTCCGGTCTGCTTGCGCTTTAAACATTTGCTAGTTAACCCCGTATACAGAGATTTCCCCTGTGCTATAATGCCCGTAAGACTACCGGTGACGGGATCCTATACTTGCAGATGGACTGAGTATTTATGGCTCGAAGAAACAAATATATCGTGTAGGTCCCATATGGTAATACTCAAGAAAGGTAGTTGCGCTGGTCCTCGTTTACTTGTCCTTCAACTGATAAAAATAGAAACTGAACTTTTTACTCACTGTCCATTTATTACCTATGATATTCTAGAGGGTGAAACCCACTGCTTCCCGATTGGCTAAGAAACTGAACCTCTTAACATGACTGGAGCTTTGGTAGGAAATATGGTGTGAAGATCGTAATCGATCTGCACGCAGCACCAGGTTCACAAAATGGGTGGGAACACAGCTCATCAAGGGACGGATCCCAGGAATGGGGAGCCACTGATGCTAACATCCAGCAAACAGTTGCTGTTATTGAATTCCTCACTGCTCGGTAAATTCTTCCACTCACATTTTGTATCTAATGCAACCACGTATATATCAGACCAAAGCCAGAACTCTGCAGTTCCAAATGCCATTTTTCAGGTATGCAGAGAGCCCGAGTCTCTACGCCGTCGAGCTCATCAACGAGCCTCTCTCTCCGGGAGTTGCCCTCGACACCTTGACCAAGTACTACAAGGCAGGATACGATGCGGTGCGCAGGCACTCCCCGACGGCCTATGTAGTGATGTCGAACCGCCTCGGGCCCTCTGATCCCAAAGAACTCTTCCCTCTGGCCAGCGGCTTGGCCAGGACCGTGGTCGACGTGCACTACTACAATCTGTTCTCGGATATCTTCGACAACATGACAGTCCAACAGAACATCGATTTCATCAACACTAACAGGACGGCACAGTTGAGCAATATTACCACGGCGAACGGTCCTCTCACCTTTGTGGGTAAGTCCAACCGCGACACCATCTATCATTACTTTTTTTACGGCGAGAAAGCGGAAAACTGCACGATGTGAATTGCTCACCAAACTTTGTTGCTGACTTGATTTGCGAATTGGGTGAAGGTGAATGGGTGGCTGAGTGGCAAGTGAGTGGAGCTACGAAAGAAGACTACCAGAGATTCGCAAAGGCCCAGCTTGAGGTGTACGGAAGAGCGACGTTCGGGTGGGCATACTGGACCCTCAAGAATGTCAACACCAAGTGGAGTCTGCAGTGGATGATCAACAATGGCTACATAAAGCTTTAATCAGTTTACCTATTCGAATCATTTCGGTATTTTCCGATACATATGCACACTCGTACAGTCGATTTTCGTGATGATCAATGGTTGAACTCGGTGAGAGCGCATTGAAGTGGAATAAATAGATTTTACTATTTCTGAACGCGGTTCATAGCCACGAGCAAGATTGATTGATCGGAGGTACGAAGAAGAAGAAATTATGAACAGGCAATGCAAGGCCAAGAACGTAGGCTCCCGTGTTGGATGGCGCTCGTACCCGTGATCGCACCAGTGATTGCCGCGATGGGATCACTTTGTGCTCCGATCAAAATATTCCGTAACGGGCGCGTCAAACTTCGACGACAATTATTTGAGGGTCCCTGCGGTGTTAGTTTGCCAATCATAGAATAATAATAATGATAAAAAAAGTTAAAGTACTTTTACTGTTATACCTCCAATTTCACATTGGATGGTGGGGGGAAACTTACTAGGTAGTTGCTGATGACTTCCTAGAATCCTTAAAAAAACACAGCAAAAAACTGCGGAAGCGCCGCGATAACTCACGTCGTATGGTTCCATAGATTCGGATGGTGACCCCAACAATCGTGATCCGAACAATGCAAACGCTACGAATTTACCCAAACGTCATGGGCTAATGATGACTTTTTGTCCGTTCTACTGAAGCGAAGTCTTGTTTTTTTTTTTCTTTAAACAAATATAAATAAACTTATGACGGGAGACGAATAATAATCATTCCATTTTTCTATTTATTCTATTTTTCTGTTATCGAAAATATATTTGGAATACAAATCCGTTTGGCAACGCAATTTTATTTTTCTATTTCCGGAATATATTCTTAGCCTAAAAATAGATTTGGAACATAAGTAAGAAGTAGAAATTTTCTACTAGAAATAACAATTCTTCTCATGGCTTGCCCTCGCCGCCCACTGCCCTCCAACGTACAAATTCTACATCGACGCTATCAATTGTGTCATTATTAAACTCTACTTTTTGGTCAGAAATAATTTCGGGAACAGAATGTTTATCGTTCGCGCCCTTTAACTTCCTAAATTGCAAAATATATTTTTTTGGGTATCAGGTGCTTCAAATTTTTTGGCCATGTGATCCCAAGAGGACGGGACAAAATGAAGATTCACAAGAGCATAAAATCCCTCAATTTTTTTTCCCTTTCGGTGACCTGCGATCCCCTTTTTCTTTACTACGTCATTGCTCATTTCCTAGTAATTTCACAATCATAAATTATGAAATGCTGTAAAGTTCATCCCCCTAAACAAAAATTTCGCCGGGCTGTTGCATCATGTGGACCCTCCATAGGATTCACTTTATGCAGAGGGTGTTGACTATATTTAAGGAAATATTTCCATTTTTATCAACATGATAAACACAGTATATTGGAAATGATAAGTTTTCTTTATTGCAATGTTTAACTAGTGCCCCCACGGACAACTTGTTAATAAAATTCTACTTAAAAATAATACAATTTTGGAGGTACGTTTTTGTGCACAGCACGATGGCAATTTATTAGAAACCGTGAAATTTCCCTAATTAGTTTCTTAATGAGCGTTTTCGGTAACACTCTTTAACAAAATCCAGTTCGAAAGAGAACATAATTGGACAAACGGAAGAGTAGTTACATCTATAGAAAGAAACGAAAAAGGGTAAACGTAGAATTTCGTTAAATCTATTTTGTTCTCCGGAAGAGAACGTCATTATCTCAAGAAAGCAGAGGTCAACGTGCAAGGGACAGGGAAATTTCCGAGTGTCGAGGTAAGTCGAAGTTACGCGGAAACCCACGGTAGGCGAGTCAACAAGCAAATTTTAAGAAATGCGGTCACAACGAGGTGAAATGCACTAAGTAGACCAGACCAAATAGACCAGATCACACTCGGTATAAATAGGCAAACGGCCCGTGGCAAAAATACATCAGACGCGCAGACAACTTAGCTGTTAAGCTAATTGAGTGAGTGACTCGACTCATCCGCATCATGCAACCACTCATTGCATCTGTCCTTAACCATTTCGAAATATTATTGCATGAACATTTCTTGGACGAGTACTATTGGATATGTCTTGGTCATGTTAACTGCAGATTTTATGTGTTCCTTCTGGGACAGTCGGTTGCATAACCAACTGCTGTTTTGTTTTGTTTTTAATCTTATGTTGATTCTGAACGGGGAAGTAGGAAAACAGAAGCCATGGAAGTCATGAGCAACGGAGCTCCATCGATCGGCAATCATTCCGATCAAGAGATGGAGAATCGAAAACCCAAAATAAGAGCAGTGAATCTGGGGGGCTGGCTCGTCACAGAAGGATGGATCAAGCCTTCCCTTTTTGATGCAATCCCCAACAAGGACTTCTTGGTACTGTGCCGCACGTAATTGCCTTGGTGTTTTCGTTGCTTATTTAACCGATGATTCGTTTGGTTTCGGCGACTTTTCTGATCCTGGAAGTGTGTATAATGTGTAGGATGGGACTATTCTTCAGTTCAAATCAATGACGGTCAGAAAGTTTCTCTGTGCCGAGTCTGGTGGAGGAAGCCGAGTAGTCGCCAACAGCTCAGGGACTCCTGGTGGTGGCAAACACCCCGCAGGTTCCGGTCCCCGATGGGAGACCTTCAGGGTGAGTTAGCTTTACGCAGATAAATAACATTTGACTTTGCAAACCCGTGATGCTAGTTCGGCAATTAAGGAACGAACTTGTGTCCAGATTAGATGCATAGTACACCAAGTGCAAATAAATTAAGATTTTTGGGCTACCGCCATTAGGGTATTGCTCAAGTATTCCATTGTCAGCGATGTTCGGGTTATCTCACGGGGACACAGCCGATGCAATTACGATAATTGGTTTGTAACTTTTACATAAATAATTTTCCAGTGCTTTGAATGTGTAGCTGTGGAGAATCAGTGAGGTGCTCTTCAACTTTAGGGTCGCCAACAAGCAATTCGTCGGCCTGGACTCTAGTGGGGATGGTGTCGATTTGGTGGCTACATGTGATTCACCAGGAACACGAGAAACCTTTGAGATCGTGAGAAACTTAAATGATCCAAACCGTGTTAGAATCAGAGCTTCCAATGGTTTCTTCTTACAGGTCATCAATCGCTTTCCCTTCCCTATATCTAATAGAAGAATAACGATAAATCTACTAAGACCGATCGAGAAATTATTGCATGTGCGTCATACATGTACTCAAATGTACTTGAACCGTTAGAACTATTGAAATCCATATGGGGCTTCCCAACCAGACTTTTTCTAGTGCATAGATAACGTTCCCCAAATAATTACTTAAGACTAGTCTAAAAAAGTGGATGTTAAATATGGTCCACTTATTTGAAAGGCCATCCTAACTACGATTTTAGTCCGTCGCATCATATCATAAACATATTGAGTAGACAAACATTACCCCTTCGCAGTTATGTTTTAGGTGGACACTAACCGAGTGAAAACTTTTCGAGGCTTATCTGAGGTAGAGAGATCGAGAGCAACAACAAAAAGATTAATAAAATAACGCTTTATAACATCAAGTGATGGGTACTTGATCTTTTAACGAGTGGTCAAGGGGGACTTAATTTACAATAAAAAGAGGGTGATTAGAATGTGTTTTGCAGGTGAGGACAGAGAAACGAGTGACAGCTGATTATCAATATGACGAGAGCGATGCTTGGGGAGATATAGATCCATCTGTGTTTGTGACGAGCTTCATCAAAAGATTGGAAGGCGAGTTCCAAATCACGAATGGTCTTGGACCACGAAAAGCCGCCGAAGTCATGAGGGTATGTAATTATAAAACTCTTATTTGAATATAGTCAAAGTTCACACTTCTCAAGCCAATCAAATCAATCAAATGATTTTTTCATGCCCGGATTATAGCTTTAACTAAACTCACTCCACGAGAAAAAAAAGTTGATTTTTTTTAATCTTTTTGGTATTTTGGCTTGCGAACGTGCTAATTCTAACCGATGATCATTACTGTAGTCATACATAGGAGTTGCGGTAGCTGCTACAGTTTCCTGCATCCCTTGTATGCTCCTGATAGGGTCTTTAGTCCCGACAGCGTACTACTCTCACTTTGTACCGGCAATAGTAAATATTGCGCATGTAAAATGATACAATATAAAATGCAATATATAAAATGAAAATATGAATAGGACATCATATGATATGCACAACCTACTCATACCAAGCTCAAGTAACTAATTATTGAACTTAGCTAGAGGTGATAGGCTTGGTCATAATGTCAATATTTATACGCCCCATCATCTTATTTGTTGGAATCTTCGCAGTGAAAACATCTAGTTGTGATCCAGCTATGAGTAATTCGCATTTATAAAAAATGGTTCTTGACCTGAAGTGTTGGGTTCTTTCGCGATACACGTCACCCATGCTCGGATTTCCTCTGTAAAAAAGTTGCAATCATGGCAACACATGGACAAAACCACCCGTTTTTCGACGAGATATACTTGATCAAAGAAGACTGATTCACAAAAATTATTTATTAATTGGGGTGTCAAATTGTGATTAGGCGTTGAATATGGTATACCTATTTAAATGGAAAAAAAGTGTTAGAAAAGTCCTAAAACTATTTCATTTGTGCCAATTTAATCCTAAATCCTTTGATCTAAAATCAATTCAGTCATTTTGGCTAATTTTGGCAGAATATTGTTGACGTGGACGTTGACCGGCCTATGTGGCACCGCCGGCGCCAACATCAACATTTTAAATAATTTTTGAATTTTTTTATATGTTTTTTTCTCTCTTTTTTTCCCTCCTCCTTTCCTATGATGGCCGACAAGGGTTGGTCTCGCTTGACTGACCGGTTAGAGGCGTGGGCCGGCAAGGTTGAATCTCGCCAAATTTGGCAAGGTTGGGCCTCGCGGCCCTAGGCGAGGCTGAGGCCAGTGGCCGACAAGGCTTGCTAGAGGCCAATGAGGTCAACCTCGCCAGACCTCACATCTCGTCGGTCGCCAAGGGCAATTGGCTTGAGGAAGAAGCAAAGGAATGAAAAAAAAAGAAAAAGAAAAGAACGAGAAACAAAATAAAAAAATAAAAAATAAACGAAAAATAAAAAAAATAAAGAAAAAATTTGAAAAATATTAAAATATTGTCTAAAAGTTCTATAGGTCAGCACCAGCTGTGCCACATAGGCCGACCAGTATTCACGTCAGTATTATTCGGCCAAAATTAATTGGAAAGACTAAATTGACTCGGATTCATATTCAAAGGCCTACTTACAATTTGACATGTCACTTAGTAACTCCACTATTCTACTTTTCCAAAAGCAGAAAAGAAAAAAAATTTAAGCAATAATTTACCCAAAATTTTCGTGTCGATTTTCATTCTTTTAAGGGGTAAACCACACTTTTTCGCGTGGATTTTTATTTAAGGGGTAAAACGGTTTATACTCTTGATTCGATTAAAAAACAATTCTCTTATCTGATTAAATAACATTCTTCTATCTCAAGCAATAATTCTTCGTAACATCAATATTCAAATGAATATTTACAAAAGAATAAGACGACCGTACCTATTACATTTTTATTCGATGGATATTTGCAATTATTTTTATAAGTAGATATCGTTGCGAACACGGAGTCTGTACTAATGTGTGCATAGCTATAACTTAGTAAGACTTAAATTGAAGGTATGAATTGATGACAGGAACACTGGAGAACGTTCATAGTGGAAGAAGATTTCGAATTCGTAGCCGAGAATGGATTGGACGCTGTGAAAATTCCAGTAGGTTGGTGGATGGCGAGTGACCCAAATCCCCCACCCCCTTATGTCGGCGGTTCGTTGGCCTTTTTGGACAAAGCCTTCTGTTGGGCAGAGTGAATCTATTACCATCTTCTCAGCATCTTGTTAAATACAAATGCAGTAGATAACATATCAGTCAATTTTTTTACTTGCAGGAAGCATGGGTTGAAGGTCATAACTGACCTGCGCGCAGCACCTGGTTCCCAAAATGGCTGGGAACGGAGCTCATCAAGAGATGGGTTCCAGGAATGGGGAGACACAAATGAGACCATCCAACAAACCCTCCGTGTCATAGAATTCCTAACGTCCCGGTAATTAATCAATCTGTGGTTCACAAACCTTATTCCGAGTACAAATCATTCGGTTTCGCCTATGTAGATACACGAAGAGCCCGAGCCTTTATGCCGTCGACCTTCTGAACGAGCCACTCACAGGGACGCTTCCTCGAGAGACTGTCAGTGGGTACTACATTGCCGGGTACAAAGCTGTCCGCAAGCACTCCTCCGCTGCTTATGTTATCATGTCCTGCATGCCTGAAACCTCCAGCATGGAGCTGCTGCTCCCCGATGCGAGCGGCCTGGACAGGACAGTTGTGGATATGCAATGCTATTTTCTGTTCGACACAGAATTCGACACCATCCAAGATATCCTTCCTTTCATATACAAAGATAGCGTTACCCAAGTGGACCGTCCCGCTTCATCAAATGGACCTCTCACTTTTGTGGGTAAGTCCAAACCCGCAACAAAATTTTCATGGCATTGATGCCACATATTGTTATGTACCAGTTTTCGTGTGTGCATGTGTATATTAGAACTGTGGATCATTGTTAGTATTGTGAAATTGCAGGTGAATGGGTAGTGGAGTGGGGACCGAATGATGCAACAAAAGAACAGTACCAAAAGTCTGCGGAGGTTCAACTGGAAGCATACGGACGAGCCACGTTTGGATGGGCATATTGGACTCTCAAGTGCGCAGAAGACCGCTGGAGCTTGGAATGGATGATCAAGAACGGTGACATTAAGCTTTAGATATTACCTTCAGAAACTCATATTTATAAGTCTGCACTTTTTACCATATTGTAAGTTGTAAGCTCTGATTATCTTTCACCGAGTAAGCTTTTAGTCATCTTCGAAAGAAATATCTGTCTATGCAAAAGCTTCAGAGCACATGCGATACCTCGTAAATTCCGTAAAGATATTTACTTAGGTAATAGTAATCATGAGACTGTCATGACTTATAAAAGATTTATTTTACTATAATGTAGTAGCAGAATTCTATTGTTCCATGCCTGGGACAATAGATTTTTTTTTCTATGATGGTATGTGTCAAGAAATTATTGGTAAAAAAATAATCGGTTTATTTTTTTTCATATAACTTGTTGGCAACTTATCAGTTATTATGCTTGAGGTGTATGGAAGGGCAACGTTCGGATGGGCCTACTGGACCCTCAAGAATGTCAACACCAAGTGGAGTCTTCAGTGGATGATCAACAATGGTTACATAAAGCTTTAATCAGTTTACCTATTCGAATTGTTTCGGTATATTCCATTACATATGCACCCATATAGTCGATTTTCGTGATGATCAATTATTGACCTTGGTCAGAGCGCATTAAAGTGGAATAATTAGCTTTCAATATTTCTGATTGGTTCATGGCCACGAGCAAGATTGACAACGCAGGCTTCGGCGTTGGATGGTGCTTGTAACAGTAATCGCACCATACTTGGACTAAACACGATTGCCCCGATGCGATTACTTTGTGGGCCAACTTAATCGAGTTTAACGCGCATAGTGGAAATTGGTAGCCGTGTGATGACGGACCAACTCCTTCACGGTATCAAAGCTTTGAGCCATGCATGGTATTTGCTACCCTGTATGGAAGGCTTTCTAACTTTTGACACGTTGGGGGGCTACATTGATGGACTCTTCAACTTTGGACTTCTGGGTTACAGGGAGCTTAGCAGCCATCACTCAAATCAGATATTTCGAAACGAGTGTAAGACTTTAATGACAATTATTTGACGATAGTTGCGCTGTTAGTTTGCCAATCGTAAAATGAAAAAAAAAAACAGATTAAGGTATTTTTATTGTTACACTCTGATTTCACAGTGGATGGCGGGGGATTTAATAGGTAGTTGATGTTGGTCGTTTATTAGTCAAACAAACTAAAAGGTGCCTTGTTCCACGTAAAAAAGACGTGAGTGCGCACGTGGATGAGTTTTAACACTAATCAACGATCATTATTTTTTATTAACTATTTTATCCTATTGAAATAGTGTAACTATTCACAATAGAGTGGCGGTTATTTTTTTATTAATTAATTTGGAATTTTTATTTTCTGCCTAACGGTTATTAGGCGCTTTTACTACCTTTGGAATGTTGTGTCTGTTCGAACATAACTTCTTAACCTTTACCTTGGAAGGTTGTGCCTTTTCAGACATAACTTCTTCACATTTGAAAAGTTGTGTTTGTTTAATGTATATAATTTTTCAACGTTTTTATTCATTATGAAGAACAAACGTTTTCATTTCTTCCAAGAGATATACAGCCTTCTTTTTCAATTGTTTCCCTTGAGAGATCCTAGAGAAATACCGTAATTGCTATATGGTATTCTCACTGAGATTTTGTTATATCCTGGAAGATTTTTGCCAGTAACCATTAGCAACATTATGGGGTAAATAATTCTTTAAAGAGAGTGTTATCACGCCTCAAAGTCTAATTCCATTTTTTCCCGTTCCGATTCATGTGGATTTTTTTCAATAATTTTAAGGAATTATTCGTTCAACAATGAAGTCAGAGACAATCAAAGTTATGAATCGAGTTGTTCCGGTTGCATTTGTAACAAAATGGTACTGACAGTGGGGTCCCGAGAAATTTAATATCATGAAGACGAGGTAGGTTGCCTGCTCTATGATTTAAATTGGGAAGTTTTGAATGAGAAATTCGAACAATTACTCGGGAGGAGTAGAGTGGAAGATAGGGGTGTGCAAAAGAACCAGGACCCGCCCGGGACCGCCCGGAATCGGACTGGAACTGGTGGTTCCCAAGGGAACCGGTCCGGTTCCCGGTTCCCGGTGTGGAACCGCCCACCCACCCACCCGGACCGGACCGGTAATATAATAATAATATATTTTATTTTTTTTTAATTTTTAACTAAAAAAATCTGACCAAAAAAAATTTTAAAAAAGAAGAAAATTTGTTATCATGTCTAAAGGTCTTGTGTAATTGGGATAACCTTGGTCATTTTTCCCAATAATTGATGGGTACCTACTTGATTTATGGATGATGTGGTTAATATAACCGATCATAGTGTATGAATTGTATGGAAAATTATGTTATTTTCTTTTTGTTCTGTTGATCCGATGTTGGTCCACGGATTTTTTTTTTATTTGTCTAGGAAAACTTGTTGGGACCGGTTCCATAGACCACCCGGGAACCGGACCGGACCGGTGGTCCGGTTCTCGGGTGGATCCATGGAACCGACGGGTGGTTCTCGGTTCCAATTTTTGGAACCGGTCCTGTAGCGAGAGGTCCACGGTTCTGGGGCGGGAACCGCCCACCCGGACCATGCACACCCCTAGTACCCACTTGATTTATGGATGATGTGGTTAATATAACCAATCATAGTGTATGAATTGTATGGAAATTTATGTTATTTTCTTTTTGTACTGTTGATCCGATATTGGTCCACAGATTTTTGTTTTATTTGTCCAGGAAAACTTGTTGGGACAGGTTCCATAGACCCACCCGGGAACCGGACCGGACCGGTGGTCCAGTTTTCGAGTGGATCCATGGAACCGACGGGTGGTTCTCGGTTCCAATTTTTGGAACCGGTCTTGTAGCGGGCAGTCCACGGTTCTGGGGCGGGAACCGCCCACCCGGACCATGCACACCCCTAGTGGAAGATGATGATGATTGTAGGTACTTATGATGGCTTACTGTCTCTGGATGTCTTCTGGTGCAGCAAACTATAGTTGTGCTGAGCTTCCAAGACATGTATGCATGACTTTCATCAACAGGACATCTGATTCTATTATGCTAACCATTTTCAAAATGTTTTTGCACTATTGATTCAAAGGACACTAAGGCCTTGGAACAGAAGGAATGCATGTGCAAGTTACTTTTCTTCTTTTATGGTATTTTAGCGTGCTTATACGTGGATGATATGCTTATTTGTGGACTAATTATTGTGACTAAGAAGTATCTAACTTCCATATATAAAATGAAAGATTTGGGTGAAGTAAAAACTATCTTGGGTATTAAAGTTAAAAAACATAGTTAGGTTTATTCTTTGAGCTAAGTAATTACTTGGAAAAGATGTTAAATAAATTTAAACATCTTGGTTTCAAAAAGATGAGTACTCCATTTGATTCCAGTATTAAATTAAATTATAATATTGGTAGAGCAGTTGCACAACTTGAATATGCTAGTGCTATAGGGTTTTTAATGTTTGCGGCAATGTACTACACCTGATATTACCTTTTCCGTGTATAACTTGAGTAGATATACTAGTAATCCAAATATAGAACATTAGAAAGCTATTACCAAAATTTTTGGTTTTCGTAAGAGAACTAAAATTTGGGATTGTTTTGTAATAATTATTCGGCTATATTAGAAGGATATACCGATGCTAGTTAAATTACAAGTGTGTGAGATAAACATTGCACATCTTGATGGATTTTCACATTAGGTGGATATTATGTATCTTGGGCGAGCAAGAAACAAACATGCATAACTCACTCAACGATGGAATCTGAATTCATTGCTTTAGCAACAACTAGAAAAGAGGATGAATGGATTAGAAATTTATTATTGGACATCAAATTGTGGCCTAGTCCTATGCCTCCTATTTTTGTTCATTGTGACAGTTAAGCTGCTTTGGCAAGAGCTTATAGTAACACTTATAATGGTAAGTCTAGACATATTAGTCTAAGAATGCATATAAGAAACAATTAATTTAGGATGGTACCATAACAACTGTTTTCATGAGGTCAAGAAAGAATCTAGCTGATCCCTTCACAAAGGCTTTACCAAGAGACATGGTAAAGATGACCTCAAAAGAGATGAGACTGAAATCTTTTAACTAAAATAACCAATGATGGTAACCCGACCTAATACTAGTAAATCACTAGTTATGAAATTTAATGGGTAAAAACAAGTTACTGAAAGTGATTGTTTGATACTGACATTAGACCAGACATGAGAAATCAATATCGTCTATTACGTTTTGTAGGTAAGTATATTACAGAGTGTTATTAGTAATAGGAACACATACTAAATACTTCACCTATATGAATTTAGAAATGGTGCCGCTTCTTATGCAAGTTGGAGTTGATTTCTAGAGAGCTCATGAAATAGGTACAAGCATAAGGCCATAATAATGCTAAGTAAATTAGAACTTCTCGCTGAAACAAGAGATTAGTATATGTGCGGTATATCCGACTCTATTATCAAAGTGGCAAGTGTAAAGCATAACTACTTGAAACTTTTACAGAATTTTGAGGTACTTGCATTGCGTAAAGGTTTAACTCAAAAGAGACCTTTATATATATTAGTCTCATGGAAATTTTGGCTGTATATTTTTAATGTTTTATTTTGGGTTAATACTACGAAAAACCCCAAACTGGTACATTTATGACAAGTTTACCCAAAACTAATTTTTTGACTATGAAAAACCCCAAACTGGTACACCTATGACAATTTTACCCTCTATTAGTTTCCGTTAAATTTTACCATCAAATTTTTGAGTTAAATGACACTTGATAGTTGACGGGTGTACCAGTTTGAGATTTTATTCTTCGTCTGTCACATGTGTACCATTTTATGATTTTTCGTGATATTAATTCAATTTAACGGATGGTAGATTTGTCACAAATATATCAGTTTAGGATTTTTGGTGGTCAAAAAATTAGTTTATGGTAAATTGTCACAGGTATACCAGTTTGGGGTTTTTTATGTTAAAAAAATTAGTATGGAGTAAATTTGTCATATGTGTACTAGTTTAGGGTTTTTCATGTTGTTAATCCTTTTATTTTTGTAATTTGTTTTACAAATAGAGTGGAGGATTATTGGTAGTTTGTTTGTAGCAAACTAAGGGGCGCCTTGTCCCGCATCGAAAGGATGTGAGTGCGTACACGGACGAAATTTGGCATTAATCAACAATCATTATTTTTTATAAATTATTTTATTCTATTGAAATAGTGTGACTGTTCATAATAGAGTGGCGGTTATTTTTTATTAATTAATTTTGAATTTTTATTTTCTGCCTAACAATTATTAGACGCTTTTACAACATTTGAAAGGTTATGCCTGTTCGAACGTAACTTCTTAACCTTTGGAAGGTTGCGTCTAGTCGGACATAACTTCTTTACATTTGAAAGACTGTGTTTGTTCAACATATATAATTTTTCAGCATTTTTGTTCATTATGAAGAATAACTGTTTTCATTTCTTTCAAGAGGTATACAACGTTCTTTTCCAATTATTTCCCTTAAGAGATCCTGAAGAAATACCGAAATTGCTATATGGTATTTTCACTGAGACTTTATTTGTATCCTAGAGGATTTTTGCCGGTAACCATTGATAACGTTGTGGGGTAAATAATTTCTTAAATAAAATTTTATCACACCTCAAGATCTAACTCAATTTCTTCCCGCTCTAATTCATGTGGATTTTTTCCCAACAGTTGTTGATGACTTTCTAGAACCTTTAAAAGGACAATAGGTCAAAATGCAGCAAGAATTCACATCGTATGGTCCTATGGATTCGGATCGTGACCCCAACAATTATGATCCGAACATTGCAAACGCTATGATTCACCCGAACGTCGAGGCCTAATGTGACTGTAATTATTGCGGAAGCCCTAACGATATAACAAAAACATCCTCGGATTGTTAAGATGTTTTTATTATTTGGTACGAAACGCGTGAATTCCGTCGGATTGGGAGCAGCAGCCCTGCTCTTCCACGAACAGAATCACTTTTGTCCGTGTCCTGGCTTCCCCAATGGCAAACATTAATAAAAAAATTTTTGGTTATCAGGTGCTTCAAATATTTTGGCCATGTGATCCCAAGAGGACGGGGCAAAATGAAGATTCTCAAAAGCATAGAATCCCTCTTTTCTCTTTCTTTTTGGGGACGAGTGATCCCCTTCTTCTTTACCCGGTCTTGCCCATTTCCTAGAAATTTCACATACAAAACTTACGAAAATAATTTTGCATCGTCCGGGTGTTTTATGAGGTCAATGAATTTTAGCCGTTGCATCGATTGGGCTCCTCTATCATTAGGATTCGCATGATTCAACGGCCGTTATTCACCAGGCTCATATGTACTCGTTCCACGGAATTATTGCTCGCGTATTAGATATTTGAGGAGACGAAAGAGGGAAAGTGACAACAACTTAATTGGAGAGAGGAAAAGATTTTGATAAATAGAAAGAGAGAAACGGACTCGTTGACTTGACCTGGATGTAGAAAATGGACAACATGCTAAAGAAAAGTGGAAGAAAATTTACTTAGTCGAAGGACATCCGATAAAGAGTGCACTTTAAATACTTATTAAGTATACTTTATTAGAAGGTTTTTGCTAATGAGTTCTCTCAAGGCACTTGTTAACTATATTCAAGGAAATATTTTCATTTTTGTTGGACTACTTAATATAGCACGAAAAACACAGTATACGCTGTTTTGAAGATACTTTTTTGTGCATAACACAAGGACAATCAATTCATAAGACAGTATACACAATTTTGAAGATACTTATGGAAATATTCTTGCATGGTCCGGGTGTTTTATGAGCTCAATGAATTTGAGCCGTTGTGTCGATTGGGCTCCTGTAGAGGATTGACATGATTCAACGGTTGTTATTCACTGAGCTCATGTGTACTCGTTCCATGAAATTATTGCTTACGAATTAGAGACTTTTTTTTTTTGGTCGGTCCTACTCTATCTCTCACTCACGATACACACTCAGACTTGCGCCCCACCTCTTGCAGGGCGTGGGCGTCGAAACCCACATCTTAAACTACGCGGCCCTACCCCTACCCCCCTGCGAAGGCGGGGATTCGAACTCTCCACCTCCCCCTTCTCAAGTGAGAAGGGTGGCCACTGGGGTAAACCCCCAGTGGTTGAATTAGACACTGGAGGAGACGAAAAAAAGGGGAAGCAACGAGAAAGTTAAACGGAAAGGAAAAGATTTTAATAGAATGAAAGGAGAAGCATGAAGTGTCCTTGAGATGCTTATTAAGTATATTTTTTTATTTAGAAGGGGTCTTATTAATGAACTCTCTCGGGGCATTTATTAAATATATTCAAGGAAATAATTTCATTTTTATTGGACCCATTACATATAACATGAAGAACATAATATATTGGAAGTGATAAATTTTCTTTATTGTAATGTTTGACAAGTGCTCTCACGACACTTATTAATAAAATTCTATTTAAAATAATACAATTTTGAATGTACTTTTTGTGCATAACACAATGACAATCAATGGATTTGAAATCGTGAAATTTCCTTAATTAGTTTCTTAATGATCATTTCGGTAACACTCTTTAACAAAATACTATTTGAAACAGGAAACATTATTGGACAAATGAAAGAGTAGTCAGATCTATATAAAGGAAAAAAAAAGATAAATGTAAAATTTCCTTAAATCTATTTTGCTGCCCGGAAGAGTTAAGAAACATCACTATCTGAAGCATAAAAGACACATCATCGTGCGAGGGACGGGGAAGTTGCTGTGCTGTTGACCAAAGTCAAGTCACACGAGAACCCATATTAGGTGAGCCAAGAAGAAAAGTTTAAGAAAAGCATTCGCAATGAAATGGAATGCAAGAAGTAGATGAGATCACTCGGTATAAATAGACAGATGGCTTGCAGCAAAAATACATCATACACGCAGACAACTCAGCTTTTAAGCTAATTGAGTGAGTGGCTTAACTCATCCCCATCATACAAGCACGCATTCCATCTGTCCTTAACCATTTCGAAATTTTATTATATGAAAATTTCTTACACAAGTACTATTGGATATGTTTTAGTCATGTTTATTTTATGTGTTCCTTTTGGGATAATCGGTCGCATAACTAACTCTTGCTTTGTTCTATCCTGATTTTGAATGGGGAAGCAGGAAAGCAGAAAGCATGGAAGGCATCAGCAATGGGGTCCAATGGATCAGCAACCATTCGGATCAAGGGATGGAGAATCGCAACCCCAAAATAAGAGCAGTGAATCTGGGTGGCTGGCTGGTCACAGAAGGATGGATCAAGCCTTCCTTCTTTGATGCAATTCCCAACAAGGACATGTTGGTACTGTCCTACACGTAATTGCCTTAGTGTTTTAGTGGCTTTTTTAACCGATGATTCGTTTGGATTCGACAATTTTTCTGATTATCGAACTGTGTATAATGTGTAGGATGGGACTGGACTTCAGTTCAAATCAATGACGGTCAAGAAGTTTATCTGCCCGGAGTCCGGCGGAGGAAGCAGGGTAGTTGCCAACAGCATGGGGACCGGTCAAGTTGCCAAACGCCCAGCAGGTTCTGATTCCTGTTGGGAGACATTCAGGGTGAGTTAGCTTTGAGCAGACAAATAACCTTGGGCTATGCAAATCCATGACGTTAGTTCGGTGGTTAAAAAACGAACTTGTGTCTGGATTAGATGCACAGTACACCAAGTGCAAATAATTACCCATTTTTGGGCTACCACCAACGTATGGGTTTTGGCTCACGTTTTACATAGTTGGGACTTTGGTGGAGTTATTTTACGGGGACTAACATTGAACAAAGGGACGGTGACCGATGCAATTACAAAGTTCCCTATCAGTTAAGTAAAACTCAGATCTTTCAACTTGGAAATAGTATGGATATATTCTCCTATTGACAACAATTTTCTGACTACAATAAGTGTCATTTTCAAAGACGATAATCTTGTGCATTGAGCTACAGATGATTTGCTGTGTTTTGTGTGTGCAGCTGTGGAGAATCAAAGAGAGGCTCTTCAACTTCAGGGTCGCCAACAAGCAATTTGTCGGCCTGGACTCTGGTGGGGAAGGGGTCGATCTAGTGGCTACTTGTCACGCACCAGGAGCATCAGAAACCTTTGAGATTGTGAGAAAGCCGGACGATCCAAGCCGCGTTAGAATCAAAGCTTCCAATGGCTTCTTCTTACGGGTCATCAATCTCTTTCCATTTCCTTTATCTTACACAGGACTAATTCTAGATCTATCAGACTGGCTGAGAAATTACTGCATGAACGTCGTACATGAATTGATATGTACACGATCCATTAGAACTAGTCTACTAAATTGGACGTGAATTATGATCCACTTATTGGAAGGGCACACTCAGTTATGGTTTTAGCCCGTCGCGTTATTTTATGAACCAATTTAGTAGATCAAAGTGATTCTCTAGGCATCAGCATGTTAGATAGACAGCAGCCGAGTGAAGACTTTTCGAAACTTATTCAAAGTAGAGATTGAGAACAACTAAAAAAGAAGAGCGATTATGGTAGGACAATTTGTTTTGCAGGTGAGGACGGAGGAACGAGTGACAGCTAATTATCAATGTGACGAGAGTAATATGTGGGGAGATGAAGACCCATCTGTGTTTATCATGAGCTTCACTCAAAGATTGGAAGGCGAGTTCCAAGTCACCAATGGCTATGGACCACAGAAAGCCCCCAAAGTCATGAGGGTACGTAATTATAATACTCTTATTTGAATATAGTCAAAGTTCACGTGCCGTCGCGCCCACGACCCTTGTCGGCGCGTGAGGGTGCGTGCGGCCTCCTCCGGCAACCCACCGCCCCTCATTTTGCTCGTCTCGACGAGCACTTTCTGTCTATGCAATAAAATTCAAGTTTTGACGAAAAACAAAAATCGAAACATGCATGAACAGATCGGGGACGCGAAGAAAATCAACAAAAACGAGGCCGAAACGAAAAAACAAGCAGTATACACTTCAATGTTAGAGATGACACACATGCATGATCGGGAAACAAGTAAACGTGCTCCGATACCAATGTTGGGAAAACTCAATCCCCGATCAACACATTCGAAACATATTCGAAACAAATTCGATCAATGTGGAAAACGTGCCTAATGACCATCAACTTGTATCACTGATCGTACAGGCATATCACACAACGAACATACCCGGTATTGTCACAGATTAAGTGCCACTTTGCGCTTGAGAGTTCTTCGATCGTCTTTCGTACTCGTTTGCGTTCCGAAGGAAAAACAGAGAAGACATTATGTTCGAAGGAGTGTGTTCTTTTGCATATGGAAAAACACGTTAGTTTTTCCAAGGGGTACCTACTATTTATAGCGATAGGCAAATAACTACCTTGTGGGCCCTTGTGGCTCACGGGCCGGATTTGGCCCATCATGGGTGGTCTACCCATTATGTCTTTCAGTTACATTAAGCTTTAGATATTACCTTCAGAAACTCATATTTATAAGTCTACACACTTTTTACTATATTGTAAGTTGTAAGCTCTGATTATCTTTCATCGAGTAAGCTTTTAGTCATCTTCGAAAGAAAAATCTGTGTACACAAGCTTCAGAGCACATGCGACGCACCTAATAAACCTAGTAGATTTCGTGAAGATTTTTAGTTGGGTAATGGTAATCATGAGACTGTCATGACTTATAATGGATTTATTTTACTATAATGTAGTAGTAGAATTCTATTGTTCCATGCCTGGGAAAATAGATTTTTTATTCTGTGATGGTAAATTTCAATAAGTATTGGTAAGTGTCCAGAAATTATTGGAAAAGAAGATAACAAGTTTATTTTTTTTCGGCTAACTTATTGGTAACCTATCAGTAATTATGAAATTATCAATTTGTTTACTAACTTAACAACTTTTATTTCTATAATTTACTGCCGCTTTCGATTTACTTAACCTTATCGAACTATTAACTTAAATTATAGCAACTTACCAACTTTTCATTAAATAAATTACCCACAAATTTTGGATTGCCAATTCTCATTGTAGTCACTAACCAGCGTTTAACTTTTTCTTTTAATTTACCAATTTTTCTATTTATTTATCAACTTTTATTTGTACTGGTTAACAACCCCTTACATTTACTAACTCATTTTAAAGATTATCAACGTTAATTAGGGAGAGCAAATGTCCAAAGAATCCTAAAATAGGGTGGCCAATTTAGTCCTAAACTCTTCAATTTATCAATTTAGTCCTAAACCTTTTAACGATTTGTCAATTTAGTTCTTTTGATCAATTTTGGCTAGAAATTGCTGACTTGGCAATCTAATCAGCGCCGTGCCACGGCTAACGCTAACATGGACAATTTTTACAATTATTTTTTAGATATCTTCATTTTTTTTCTTTTGTACTCAAATTTTTTGAATTTATTATTTTTTTCTTCTCTATTGTTTTTCCCAAAAAAAAAGGAGGGGATATCCATGGCCAGAGGCTAACCAGTCAGCGATTAAGATGAACGGTGTGAAAATTGCAAAAATTATCCACGCACCATGTGTCGTGACCCACCCAAGGTTGGCCAATGGATTACTAAGCCTAAACTTAGGCTAAACTTAGCTCGAGCTCTTCCAAACCCAAGTTATATTTTTATCTAGGAGTTGCCACTAATCTATTTCATAACAAGTCGATTAGAAATCCAAGTAAAGTATTGGAATAATTACTCATACGAACAAGAGATCATGAATTCGGGGAATTAATGAAGCTAGATTACCCTTTCGATACCATTTCATTTATTTTAAAAAAATATATACAGGCAGCTTGGATTGATTTTATGCTAGATACTAACATGCAAGGGAATGATCATGCGGGTACGCAATCATTAAAAATAACAATCAATAAATAAAGCAAACAAATTGCAACTCAATAAATTACACAAACTAAAGCAAGCAACTATTTTGGGGTTTTCTTTTATCTCAAACTTAAAGACTAACCTATATGACATGCAAATCCTAATATGCGCCGAGTCTGGCGGATATTTTCTTACGACGAGAAAGCCCAAAACTGAACGATATGACGTGCTTACAAAACTTTGTTGCTGATTTGATTTGCGAATTGGGTGAAGGTGAATGGATGGCTGAGTGGCAAGTGAGTGGAGCTACGAAAGAAGACTACCAGAGATTCGCAAAGGCGCAGCTTGTGGCGTATTGAAGAGCGACGCTCGGATGGGCATATTGGACCCTCAAGAGTGTCAACACCAGCTAGAGTCTTCAGTGGATGATCAACAATGGTTATATAAAGCTTTAATCAGTTTAAATATTCGAATTGTTTCGATATTTTCCGATACATTTACACTCATAGTCGATTTTCGTGATAATCAATTGATGACCTTGGTGAGAGCGCATTGAAGTGGAATAAATAGCTTTTACTATTTCTGAACGGCTCATAGCCATAAGCAAGATTGATACGAGGTGTGTAGAAGAAATTATGTACAGGCAATGAAAGGCCAAGAACGTAGGCTTCGGTCTTGAATGGTTGCTTACAACTGTAATCGCACCATACTTGGACTAAACATGATTGCCGCGATGGGTGCTCTCTGAAAGTTGGATTTCTTGATTGGATCATGTTAATTTAAGGTTTAACATACATAATGAGACTTGATAGCCCCGTGACAACGGGACAACTCTTTCACCATGTCAAAGCTTTGAGCCTTGGAAATTTGCTACCTTGGGAAAGACTTCTGATTTTTAGCACACTGGTGGCTTACAATGATAGGACTTGTTTGAGAAAATATTAGGTGCATAAGATACTCCACGTCAGCCATACATTGAACCATCTGGCGGCTGACACGTAGCGAGAACGGGCCCACTGTCGGAATTTTCAAACTCACCTTCTCTTTCTCCTCCCTCTCTCTCTCTCTCTCTCTCTCTCTAAGGTCTCTCTCCGTTCACGGCCAAGTTCATGACTCCACACCCCTCCGGCTCCACACATCCGCGACCTGCTCCACACCTCCGTGACCTCAGCTCCTTGTCACCATGAGGGTGTCACGGTGGCAGTTGCGACCAAGAATCGAGGTTGCGACGCCATGGCCAACTGAGATCCGAGGTCGCCAACGGCGGTCGCAGCCTCACTCAGAGGGTCTCCATGTCCAAATGGCGACCTCGACGAGGTTGCCCATGGCGTCGGCGGCCTCGATCCCTCATCGCAACATAATGGGCGACCTTGGATCGAGGCGCAAGTCGCAGTGGCGTGCCTGCGCGCGAGACAAAGATTGAATCGGCAAAGAGACAGAACACAACCACCACTTCTTCATCGAATTCCACCTTCACAGTTTGATTTTTGTTTTCCCCTTTGTTAGTCTGTTGAAGATTCTTCATTTCTTGAATTTTTGTTGAGCACGGAGAATTAAAAAGAAGAACAGTGGAGGTTTTGATTAGAGAACTGGAAATTTGTGAAACTTCATCAAATCCTGTGAATGAACGGAGAGCTGAGCTGTGAGGTCGAACTTGGGAGAGAACTTGGAGAGAGAACAAGCAAAAAAAAGAGGGTTAATTAAAAAAAAAAGCACAAACTTTAGGTTGTGGGACAATTCTGGCCCGAACTTTTTTTTGTTCCATAAAAGAGCACCAACTTTAGGTTGAGGGACAATTCTGGCCCGAACTTTTTTTTGTCTCATAAAAAAGCACCAACTTTCATTTAAATCCCAAATTTGGCCCCCCATTGACTTTCTATCTGAAGTTACCTTTGTTTGAGAAAAAATGTTATGGTGGTGAGCCTGACGAATCTCTTCCATGGCGTCTGTCGACGGACGGTGGTCTACAGCTTCAAATTACAACAAAACGACGAAGTTTGGCCAGAAAGATTCAATCTGGAGATATTTTTGACTTGCCGGTGAAGTGAAAGAGACGAACAGTTTCACCGTTATTCTTCAAGCTGTGGTTCAGAGAATAAGACAATGAATAATGCTTTAAATCCAGTCAGCAAGTCACGTGGATTTATTGCTAAGGTGGAATAGTCAAGTTGGAAAATCAATGGTTTTAAGTTAATAAGGGCCATATTTGGGATTTAAGTGAAAGTTTGTGCTTTTTTACGAGACAAAAAAAAATTCGGGCCAGAATTGTCCCTCGACCTAAAGTTGGTGTTTTTTTACGGGACAAAAAAAAGTTTGGGCCATAATTGTCCCTCGACCTAAAGTTGATGCTTTTTTATGAAACAAAAAAAAGTTCGGCCCAAAATTGTCTCTCGATCTAAAGTTGGTATTTTTTTTTGGAATTAACAAAAAAAAAAAAAGCAAAGAAAAGAGAGAAAATGGGGAAAGAGAAGAAAAGATGTAAATTTTTTTAAGTCTGACAGTGGGCCCCTTTTTGCCACGTGTCATGCGTCGAATGGTCCAATATATGGCTGATATGGAGTATGTCATGCACCTAATATTTTCTGACTTTTCAAGTTCAGACTTTCGTGTTCTATGTGGACTAATAAGTATTAGTCAAATCATATATTTCATTACGGGTGGGACCCTAATGGCAATTATTTAAAGGTAGTTCAGCTGTCCATCTTTTCCCCCCAGTTTGCCAATCATAAAATCGAAAAAAGGCTGGAAAATTGTTTAATCAGTCTTAAACCTATTTTATATATGTCAATTCAGTCTTAAACTTTTTAATTTTGCCAATTTAATCCTAAGTCTTTGCGCGAAATTTTAATGTAATTATTCCGGCCAATTTTTGCCAGAAATCGGTAATGTAATGGTTTAGTCATTACCGGCCGTCTAACATGACATACTGCAACGTCAGCATTTTTCGGCAAAAATTGGCCAGAAGGATTATTGTTGCGGAAACAAGCGATCAAATAATAAAATAGATACAACAAGAAAAATAAATCGGGTACTTGATTTACGTGGTTCGATCGATATGACCTACCTCTACGAGGAGAGTAGCACATAATTTCACTATAGATCAAACGATACATCGCAAAATTATAACCACACTCGAGTCACTCTAACGCTCTCAGAGTTTTTCTGCCCCAATTACATTCAATAAGTCACAAAGTGTTTAGCTTTAACGATTCTTCACGAAAGAATCTCTCAATTTCACGAAAGATATAAATAAATCTTACCACAAGATTTAATTGGCTTTAACACTTGAATTGTTGATGTAATTCCTCGAAGAAAACCCACGCGAAGCACTCGCTTAGAAACGGCACACTTCAAGACCAATTCTTCATAAACAGAAAAGCCTAAATTGGAGGTTTCCTTTTCTTTGAATTTCCTGGATCAGACTTCAAACGAATGAAGTGGGCGCGGGACTTTCTTTCCTATCTTTCTTCGTCAAGGAAATTGCCGTGTGCTTCAGACACACTCGTATCCAATGGAAAGTCCAAGTCCAAGTCCAAGTTGGACTTTCCAATCTTGATTCCAATCTTGACTGCTCCAATACAGAAACAATATTTGTTATCTGCATTATTCGTATCCAATTCAGGTCGGGTTCGTTCAACGGACTCAAATTCGAGACATTTTTTTAATAATTATGTTGAAATTTTGCGCAAAAGTATAGGATGGCAAAATTGAAAAATTTAGAATTGAATTGACATATGTACGGTAGATTTAGGACTGATTGAACTGTTTTCCTGAAAAAAAGCTAAGGTATTTTTCGCGTTACATTCTAATTCCACATCTGGTGGCATGGGATGTATAGTTTGGTTCATAAGTAGAGTGACGTGAATACAATTGACGATGTCTTTCCAATGTAACGTGTGAATTCCGTCCGAAGACCCCACTCTTCCACGAACAAAATGACTTTTGTCCGTTCTACTCTAGTGAAGTCTATTTAATTTTGCCAAATAACATAGAATCCCCTTTTTCTTAACAACGTCTTGCCCATTTCCTAGTAATGTCACATATATAAATTACGAAATATTCTCTTCCACGAATAAAATGACTTTTGTCAATCCTAGTCTAGTGAAGTCTTTCTTTAACTTTTCTCAAAAAGCATAGAAATCCCCTTTTTCATTATCACGTCTTGTCCATGTCCTTGAAATGTCACATACATAAATTATGAAATATTCTCTTCCACAAATAAAATGACTTTGGCTCGTTCTACTCTAGTGAAGTCTTTCTTTAATTTTGTCGAAAAGCATGGAGTCCCCTTTTTTCTTTACCACATCTTGGCCATTTCCTAGAAATGTCACATACATAAATCATGAAATATTCTTGTATGGTCTGGGTTTTTATGAGCTCCATGAATTCGAGTCATTAAATTTTACGGGCTCCATATAGGATTCATATGATCTAACGGCTGTTATCCTCCGGGCTTATGTGAACCCACTTCACTTAAGTATTAATCATGAATTAGAAAATTGAATAAATAAAAAAGGGAAAGGAACGAGAAGTTGAATGGAAAGAGGAAAAGACTTTAATAGAATAAAAGGACAGAGCGGACTCGCTGTCTTGACCTGGACGTAGAAAATCCATAACATGCTATAATCGAAAGAAAATGTATTTATTCGAAAGGATTTATTAATGAGTGTCGTTGGAGCACTTATTAAGGTTCCGTTCGTTTCACGGAAAATAACTTTCAAGAAAATATTTTCCAGATTTTCTAGCGTTCGTTCCACGGAAAATAAACTAGTTGTGGAAAACATTTTTCCTCAATAAAAAAAACACATTAAAAAATGAGAAAAATATTTTCTCTCCTCCTTCTTTCACCATTCATTTTAATTATTTTTAATTTTTTAAATTCTAAATTATAATTATTTTTTAATTATCTTTTCTTTTCTTTTTTTTACCTCATTCTCCGGCCAATCACCGGCCATGGCAGAGGCCGGCGATTGGCCATAGGCGAGCTCAAGCCTCGCCAACCAGAGGTTGTCGAGCAGGCTTGCTGACTCCTCGAGCTCGCCAGACCGAGACTCGCGAGGTGGTGGCGAGCTCGCTCGCCACTGTCGACGCTTGAGCATCGCCGATTTGGTGATGCCCGAGCCTCGTCGCCCTCAGGTGACACTTGAGCGTTGCTGATCAAGTGAGCTCGAGCCTCACCTGGCGAGGCTCGAGCTCGCCTGGCATGGCCGGTCGCCGGCCTTTGTCATAGCCAGCGACCGGCCGGAGAAGAAGGTCAAAAAGAGAAAGAAAAGAAAAGAAAAGAAAAAAGATATAATTAAAAAAATAGATTTTTAAAAAATTATTAAAAGTAGTGTATGGAGGATTAGATTTTTCATAC